TCAGAACCCCCTTTCTCTCCCCCATTTCTGAAGAAGGGTCTAGACCCGAAACGTCAGCCTTCCTGCTCTGATGCTGCTTGGCCTGCTGTGTTCATCCAGCTCCACACCTTGTTGAGTCAGATAAAGTTAGTCTGTTTGCACCCTTGGTGTCACATTTTACTCTGAGATGGGCTTCCAAATTGAGTCAAGTTGTGGTTAGGGCAGACTGTTTGTTTGTTTCCATCTCTGTAACATAGACCAACTTCACTTCATCACAGCAGATCATTGATGACATTGGCAGCCTTCTAGAAAAAGACTTCATTCCCAGTGGACCAGTTGGACATGCATTGCCAATGAGCATCATGGTGCCTATCACTGGAGAACTGCCCCTAAGTCTCTGCCTCTCCCTGAGGTGGAATGAAAGAACAACCTTCTGGAAGGTGACTGTAATGTGTGCATGTGAGGGAGCAATAGAGTAAGAGAGATAATAGGTGCTTTTGCTCAGATGGGGACATGAGGTACCTGCAAAAAGAGGAATATGCACATGTGCAAGGTTGTTTTGAGGAGAACCAGGATACACAAGGTGGGGTTTGCCATCTGAAAATTATGTCACTCCCCTGTCGTTGCCTTCCTGAGACCCTTGATCCTTGGTGCATCATCACCAGGTTGGAGGGGCTGTAATTTTGCTGCAGACTTCCTTGGGTGACTACATCTATGTTTGCTTCATCGGAGAGATTTAACTCTTCCTTTTGCCCTTAGGAGAGGTTGTTTCGCTGCAGCAGGACTAGCAGTTAATGGGGAGAAATGTAGAGATCAGCCTTCCCAGGTCTCTTCTCCATTCCATCAGTTGCGGTAGTCTCATAAATACATATCCAGACGAGTCTTTGTAACCCATGCTAGGTTTATTTAACTAAAGATCCTGTTCAAGATGGGGCTTATTAATGCCGCATTCATTCAGATGTGCCCTTGATGTCAAGGATAAATCAATCACAGTTCACCTCTGGAATTCACCTCTTTGTATGTGTTTAACCAAAGGTTATGATGAGTCAGCAGCTGAGTGAACCTTGTGGAACCAAACCTGGGTATCATTTGAGCAGGTTATTGTTAAGCAAATACTGCTTGAAATCTGTTGATAAACCCCTTCCATCTCTTTACTATTGGGGTGGTAACTGGCTGGGCCAGATTCATTTGCCCAGCTACATCCTGTATGTAAAAACCTATACTGGAACAGCTTTGCTAGGGGAGTGCTAAATTCTGGAGCACTATTACTGGAATGTTGTCAGGCCCTGTAGCCTTTGTGGTATCCAGTGCTTTCAGCCTTTCCTTTATATCATGCAGGGTGGATTGAATTGGCCAAAGGGTGGCATCCATGATGTTGAGGTCCTCCAGAGGAAGTCGAGATGGATTATCCACTTGGCATTTCTGCTTGAGGATATTTCATTGATGTCAGTGGTAGTCAGTCTCGGCTCATCTCTGGAATTCAGCTCTTTTTGACAATGTTTGAACCGAGCTTTGTCTTTTACACTGATGTTCTGGGCTACCCCATCATTGATAATGGATGTGATTTTGGACCTAGAATACAGGATACAGAAGCTGCAGGCGTAACAAGTACATGTAGGCGAGGAGGGGGAGTTGCCCTTCTGATAAAGGAGGACATAAAAGTGCTTAGAGAGGATATTCTTAAGGGTTCATCAAATGAGACCATATGGTTAGAACATAGAAATGAAAAGGGGATGGTCACTCTGTTGGAACTGTATTCTAGACCCCCAAAGAGCCAGAGGAGCAGACATGTAGAGAGATTGCAGATACCTGTAGGAATAATAAAGTAGTATTGGTTGGAGATTTTAATTTCGCCTGTATTGACTGGGCCACCCAGAGTGTAAAAGGTTCAGACGGTGTGGAATTTGTCACATGTGTCCGAGAAAGTTTCCTAAATCAGTATGTAGAGGGTCCTACTTGGGAAAGTGCAACACTGGACCTCCTGTTAGGAAATGAGGTCAGGCAAGTGACTGAAGTGTCAGTCAGAGAGCATTTTGGGTCCAGTGACCATAACTCCTAGTTTTAACATAGTTATGGAATAAGATAGGACAGGTCCACAGATTAAGGTGCTAAACTGGAGCAGGGCCAATTTTTGGGGCCATGAGACAAGATCTAGTAGTGGTCGATTAAGTGATTCAGTTTGAAGGAAAAGGAATGACTGGCAAATGGAAGACTTTTAAAAGTGTGATATTAAGAGTCTAGTGACAGTATGTCCCTGTTAGAGTGAAGGGAAAAGCTGGCAGGTTTAGGGATCCCTGGCTGATGAGGGATGTTGAGGCTCTGGTCGGGAAAAAGAAGGCATACATTGGGTTTAAACTATTGGGCTCAAGTGAATTCCTAGATGACTATAAAATGTGTAGAGCACCCTTAAGAGGGAAATCAGAAGAACAAAAAGAGGGTATGAGATGGGTTTCACAAGTAAAGTTAAAGATAATCCCAAGAGGTTCTATAGCTATATTAAGAGTAAAAAGGTGGCTACGGAGAGAATAGGTCTCCTTAAAGATCAGCATGGCCTGTGATGTATGCTGCCACAGGACATGGGGGAGATTTTTATTGAATATTTCTCCTTAGTGTTTATTGAGAAAAAAATCATGGATGCTAAGGAAATAAGGGAAACAAATGGAGATGTTTTAGACTGCACACATATTACCAGAGAGTAGGTGTTTGCAGCCTTAAAGCACACTAAGGTGGATAAATCCCCTGGGCCTGATCAAGTCCATCCTCTGACTTTTTGGAAGGCTAGAGAGGAAATTGCAGAGGCCCTTGCAGGGACTTTTGCTTCATCTTTTGCCACTGGTGAAGTTCCGGAAGGCTGGAGGGTGCCTAATGTTGTTTCATTGTTTAAGGAAGGTAGCAAAGCCAGCGATCTACAGGACAGTGAGCCTGACATCAGTGGTAGGCAAGTTATTGGAAAAGATACTGAGGGACCGGATCAACCAACATTTGGAGAGTCAAGGTCTGATTAGGGATAGTCAGCATGTATTTGTGTGCAGGAAGTAATGTCTGACAAATCTTTTCGAGTTTTTCGAAGAGGTAACCAAGAGGATAGATTAGGGCAGGGCAGTGGATGTTGTCTATGTAGACTTTAGTAAGGCCTTTGACAAGGTCCCACACAGCAGGCTAGTCATGAAGGTTAGGCAGCATGGGATTCAGGGAGAGCTAGGTAATTGGATTCAAAATTGGCTCAATGGTAGGAAGCAGAGGGTGATGGTTGAGGGTTGTTTCTTGGACAGGAGGCCTGTGACTAGTGGTGTGCCGCAGGGGTCAGTGCTAGGACCTTTGTTATTTACATAAATTATCTGGATGTGAATGTACAAGGCATGATTAGTAAGTTTGCGGATGATACAAAATTAGGAGGTATCATTGATAGTGAGGAAGGTTATCAAAAATTATGGAGGGATCTTGATCAGATGGGGAAGTGGGCTGAGGATTGGCAAATGCAGTTCAATACAGATAAGTATGAGGCGTTGCACTTTGGAAAGTCAAACCAAGGTAGGACTTATACAGTAAATGGTAAGGTCCTGAGGAGTGTTGTGGAACGAAGGGACCTAGGAGTACAAATACACAGTTCGTTGAAAGTGGTGTCACAGGTAGACAGGATGGTGAAGAAGGCATTTAGCATGCTGACTTGCATCAGTCGAGGCATTGGGTATTAGATTTGGAATGTTATGTTACATTTTATGAGTTGTTGATGAGGCCACACTTGGAGTATTATGTACAGTTTTGGTCACCCTGTTATAGGAAAGACATAGTTAAACTGGAAAGTATGCAAAGAAAATTTACGAGGATGTTGCCAGGACTAGTAGGCCTGAGTTACAGGGAAAGGTTGGCCAGGTTAGGACTTTATTCCTTGGAACATAGGAGATTGAGGGGTGTCTTTATTGACTATCCCTAATCAGACCTTGACTCTCCAAATGTTGGTTGATCCGGTCCCTCAGTATCCTTTTCAATAACTTGCCTACCACTGATGTCAGGCTCACTGTCCTGTAGATCCCTGGCTTTGCTACCTTTCTTAATCATATCCTAAAATCATAAGGGGTGTAGATAGGATGAATGCATGCAGTCTTTTTCCCAGGGATGGGCAATTGAAAACTGGAGGGCATAGGTTTGGGAAAGATTTAAGAAGGACCTGAGGGGCAACTTCTTCACGCAGAGAGTGGTGCGTATATGGAATGGGTTGCCAGAGAAAATGGTTGAGGCAGGCACAATAGCAGCATTTAAAAACCATGTGGATGGGTACATAGAGGGGAAGGGTTTAAGAGGGATATGGGCCAAATGCGGGCAATTGGAACTAGCTGAGTGGGCAGCATGGACCAGTTTCGGCCAAAGGGCCTGTTTCCATGCAGTATTACTCTATGAATCTCTGACTATGACTCTACCTCTGCACTGAGTTGTTTAATTGTCATCTGCCATTCTCAACTGAATGTAACAGGGCCGCAGAAGTATCTTCCAAGTGACTGTCTTCACGAGGACTGTGGTAGTCATCTCTAATGGTTGGTCTTGTGGACAGATGCATTTGTAGCAGGCAGGTTAGTGGGGGTGAGGTCAAGTTTGTTTATTCCCTCTTGCTGGTTCCATTGCCACCTACAGTTGACCCAGTTCCAGCAGCTGTCTCCATTAGGACTGGCTCAGTACATGCTGACAAGCCACAGTTGGTGATGGACATTGAAGTTCCCCACCTAGAGTACATTCTGTACCCTTGCCGCCCCGGTGCTTCTGCCAAATGACGTTCAATGTGAAGGAGCACTGATTCATTAACAGAGGTAGGGGCAGTACGTGGCAATCAGCTGTAGTTTTGTTTGCCCACATTTGACCTGATGCCTGGGCATTTATGAGGTCCATAGTCAACGTTGACTCCGAGAGTAACTTCCTCACAACTAGTTAGCACTGTGCTACCACCTCTGCTGTATTATTCCTGTCGCTGGAACAAGACATAAGCAGGGTGGTAGTGATGTTATCTGGACATTGTAAGATACAATTCCATGAGAGGTGGCTTTCTCAATTTTGGTATTAGCTCTTAATGTCATTAAGGAGGATTTTGCAGCGTCAGTGGGGTTGAGCTTTCCAGTGCCTAAACTATGCCATGTGGCCTGTCCAGTTTTGTTCCTTTAGTTTTATTTTATTCGATTTTTTTTTTTTTTTTTAGCAATTTTGATGCAATTGAATGGCTTGCTCGGCCATTTCAAAGGATATTTAAGGGTCAGCTCATTGCTGTGGGTCTGGAATCACATGTATGCCAAACCAAAAGAGGATGGCAGTTGTTATTGAAGCAGATAGGTTTTTAGGACAATTGACACTGGTTTCATGATTATTAATAAACTTTATTAATTCCAGATTTTTTTTTTGTACAATTCAAATTCTGCCAATGCCATAGTTGATCTCAGGTTCACTAGTCCAGTGACAATGCCTTTACAACATGACATTCTGCCAGTCTTCCCTGACTGGCCAGAGGACCGGTGGCCAGATGCTGATGTTATCTAGGCAGAGCCTGCTGAAGTGAATTCTTCAGGCTATGAGGAAACTCCCCTCAATGTGTCTCATCTATCATATTGAGTTCACAAGCCTTGTCAGCCCTTAAACTATCAAAATGCCCAAAGAAATATTTTTACATGAGTAAGACTGCTGAGCTTTCAACTTGCATGTTATTACATTTCAATCAATAAAATTATTCCCATCAAAATTGGTTTTCTTACTGTTCAATCACCGTAAAATTGGGTGCGTTCTCAACATAATAGGTTTCCAGAGTCTCAAAACCAATCCGAGGCAGTTTTTGCTGCCAATATTGAGTTGGGTCATGGGATTGCCTTGATACATTCTTGCAAATCTTTGACATCAAAACAGAAAACAGCTGAATACATGTTGGAAACCCCAGGAGCCTGATGAACTCACTTATGATTTTGCAAGTTTCCAAGTTTATTGAGAAGCCTATTGTGCATTTTCCTTGAAAGGTAGTTCTGTTTCATCGGTTGATTTCATAAATAACTGTTCACAGCTGGACAAATTTCTCTGACTAGGTCACGGATCTATTCTATCAATGTAAGTTTTTAAAACTAGCTTAGTTACTGACTAAGTCATTATTGAGCTAACTGTTTAATTTATGTTTTCCCTTAGAGTCGCAGAACTCACAATCTAGATCTACGGGGCACAATAGTGATTTTTGATGAAGCGCACAATGTGGTGGGTATTTTGTTGCTGTAAAATTGTATTGTATGGTATTAGTTCTTAAAAAGAGAAGTAGATATTTATATTTAACTATTTTAAAATTATAAATTAAGTTTCAAAATAAATACTCTTTAAAAGTCTTTGCAAAAGTGTAAAAATACGGTGAAGGTTTGTGTATTGCATCAATCACATTTAAGGGCGTTCCTGCAAAGTGCTAAGAATTCTTTGGATTTATATGTGCATGTATGTAGCTTAGTACTTAATTTGAACAATTCAATTTGAAAAGTAACCAGTAGCAAAGCTTTACCCTTAACCAATGTAAAGGTTAGTGTATTACACAATATTGCTATATGTTCTTGAGTAAAAATATGTATTCTCTTAGCAACTTTGTTACAACGATAATGCAGATTGAAGGATAACAGAAAGCTCATGAAGATAAAATTCAGTGCAGCCCTTTACGATATCATTCTAGGCCTATCTCTTGCAATCGAAGTGTTGGTTGTCTGGGGTAGAGGGTTGAGGTTGAAGAGTTCAACTCCAATGGCTTCTACTGAATAGTCGGAGTTAACATACTATAATTCTATAAGGGCTGATGGGAAGCCAGGGATGGAAAAAAATCCCAAAGGGGAAGATGAGATATTGTTTTTCCTGCTTGTGCTGAGCCTCACTGGAGCACTGCAGCAAGCCTGAGACAGAAATGTTGGTCAGAGAACACAGTGGCATTTTGAAGCAGCAGGCAACTGGAAAATCAGCATCATCTTTGGAGACAGAATGTTCTACATCCTGTGGCCTTCAGGACTCAATATCAAGTTCAATAATTTGAGAGTTGGAACATGTTCTATGTCATTTACCCAGCCCCTCATCCCAGGCCCCCTGATGACATGTGCTGCTTTCAGCACAATAAGCCCATTTTCACCAACTCACTGTCCCCATTATCAGCTTTTCTCCTTCCCTGGCTTTCTATCAACTATCATAGAACTAATGAATGCCTGCCGTGTTGAAGTGGCCCATCTGGCCCATCGGGTCCACATCGACCCTCCAAAGAGCATCCCATCCAGACACACACCCCTACCCTATCCCTGTAACCCCACATTTCCCATGGCTAATCTATCTAGCCTGCACATCCCTAGACAGTAAGGGCAATTTAGCATGGCAAATCCACCTAATGTGCACATCTTTGGACTATGGAAGGAAACCGGAGCATGTGGAGGAAACGCATGCAGACACGGGGAGAATGTGCAAACTGCACACAGACAGTCATAGAGTTGTACAGCACGGAAATAGACCCTTCGGCCCAACTCATCCATTACCACCAGATATCCTGATAAATCTAGAGATAATAAGAACTGTCGATGCTGGAGTCAGAGGTAACACAGTGCGGAGCTGGAGGAACACAGCAGGCCAAGCAGCACCAGAGGAGCAGGAAAGTTGATGTTTCGGGTCGGGACCCTTCTTCAGAAATGGGCCATTTCTAAAGAAGGGTCCTGACCCAAAACATCAGCTCTCCTGCTCCTCTGATGCTGCCTGGCCTGCTGTGTTCTCCACCTCATCACTGTGTGATCCTGATAAATCTAGTCCCCTTTGCTAGCATTTTGCCTATATCCCTCAAAACCCTTCCTATTCATGTACCCATCCAGTTGCCTTTTTAAATGTTGTAATTATACCAGTCTCCACCGCTTCCTCTTGCAGCTCATTGCATACATGCACCACCTTCTGCGTGAAAAGATTTGCTGTTAGGTCCCTTTTAAATCTTTCCCCTCTCAAGTTAAACCTATGGCCTCTTGTTTTGGACTCCCCCACCCTGTGGAAAAGACCTTGGTTATTCACCCCATCCATCCCTCTTACAATTTTCGAAGCTGCAACCAAACTAGGTCCCTGGTGTTGTGAGGCAGCAGTGCTAAACACTGAGCCACCGTGCCATTGCCTAACTTCCTTTTTCTCTCTCTGAGCTTTGTCTCCACCTTTCTGCTCACTTCTACTCTCCATCACCACCACTAACCAACTCCCTGTGTTCAGCATATATACCACCTAATCTTAGCTACGACCAGATCTGAAGAATGGTCACTGGGCCGGAAATGTTAACACTGCTTTCTGTCCACAGATAGTGCTGGACCTGCTGAGTTTCTCCAGCAATTTCTGTTTTTGTTTCAGATCTTCAGTGTCTGAAGTTCTTGCTCAGTTTTTAGTGAATTTGTGTGTTGAATGTCATATTGTTCTACCAGAATTATAAAATTGATCCAAATCAAAATCCAAGACTGAACTCTGCATTAAAGTTACATAGTTTGAATTGAGTTGAAGGTTGTGTTATACCCATAGGTTTCAAATAAGCTGCATTTCTCTTTCCTCATCATAGGAAAAAATGTGTGAAGAATCAGCTTCATTTGACCTTACTCCTTATGACCTTGCCTCTGGAATTGACGCTGTTAATCAGGTCTTAGAGGATGAAGCAAAAAAGGTTAAACACAACAAGTATGATACACACTTTGATTTTGAATCATTCAATTCAGGTTTGTTCATTAGACTTTCAAGTGCTTTGCGTGAATCATGCTAAGTGTACTCGACTGAATCTCAATATGTATCATGAAGTTCTTACCATGTGATCAAAGCTTTTAAATTTTGTGTACCACATTTTATCTTCTTCACTTCCTTCTTCTTTCTCATGCCTTGTTTCATATCTTGTAATATGGAGAGGTGATCAATTCAGAAAGATATGTGCTGCAATTCCTGTAAGCATCAGCCAGAAATTGAAAGATGATGCAACAGTTTGGACTGATTTACTTTTGTTTTCTTTTTCGGTTATTTTCCCTGTGGGAGGGATCCAAATTCTATTTGGTGTTTTCTAATGTTCCCTCCAGGTTTGGGACCTCAATTTGTGGTGTCGATGCAAACTCATTCAGCCAATGATCAAGTAAATAGCTTTAAATATATATTTGTTATATCTCGACAGGATGCCCACACTTAAAGTTGTGGTTACATTCCTAAAAAATGCAATGAAACAACTTTAAGTAAAACATTATTTTGCTTTCTTATAGAGTCATGCAGCATGAAAACAGACCCTTTGGTCCAACCATGCCAAATGTAATCCCAAACTAAACTAGTTCCACCTGCCTGCTCCTGGCCCATATTCCTTCAAACCTTTCCTATTTGTGTACTTGTGTCTTTTAAATGTTGTAATTGTGCCCACATCCACCATTTCCTCAGGAAGTTCATTCCACACATGAACCACTCTCTGTGTTTAAAAAAAAAAAAAAATTTGCCCCTCATGTCTTTTTTTTAATCTTTCTCCTCTCACCTGCCCTCTCACCCCATCCTAGGGAAAAGATACCTACCATTAACCCTATCTATACTCCTCCATGTTTTTATAAACCTCTCTAACTGGTGTTGGATTCTGTAGACTGGCTGAATTTCTGCATTGATAAATGAAATAACTATTCAAATAAAACACATTTTTCTTTTATATTTTAAATGTAACATTCTAGTTGGTGAACTTTCTGTATTGAATCCTCTGAGAGTGGCACTGGGTGTGCCACTGCAAGGGTCTCCACTGTGGGAAGCTTTTGTTCATCAGTCTCTGGGCCAACAGCTGGTAACAGTCGCTTGTTTCTGACCATTTCCTGGCAGTGGCCTGATTGTATGGTTGTTGGTGCCCACAGTGCTCCTTCCTGTTGGTTGCCACCTTTTGGGGTCTGCGCAGGCCGCTGCTTTGTGAGGCAGTTCCTCTTGGCTGGCTGCAGGGTGTTGACCAAGCTCCCTTTCCCATCGGTCAGGTGGGTCATTTGTGGCTGGGCAAGATGGCTTCTCCACTTGCTGCCGCACCCCACCCCCGCTCCCCTGTTTGCCTCATTTTCTCTCATTCTGAGGCTGCAGGGTGCCTGCAACGGATTTTGGCTTATAGCTGGCACAATCTAACATTCTGTAGAAAGGTTATTGGATCCATAACGTTAACTTTACTTTCTCTGTCCACAGAGGCTGCCAGACCTGCTGAGTTTCACCAGCACATGTAGGGGGAAGGGGAGGGGCTCTTGGTGGTGGTGGCTGGAGCTGGGGTTAGATGCAGAGGTCGTGGGAGATGCCCCACTCCATGCCACTGTTTTGCTGTTCGGGGAATGGGAGCCACGGCCTAGTGGTTGGGAGGTGTGGCTAATCCTTGTATCCAGCAGGTCCTGAGCCAGTGACAGGTTCTTGCAGAGGATGCTATCAAGGGCAGCTGCAGCATGGCTAGGGCTGTGTGGCAGCTCCAGTGGGTGATCTGGTGGATGGGGACTCCCTGGGTAGCAGTGTGCCATGGGGTAAACCACAAGTTGGAAGAATGGGTATGGGAGCAGTCTTCAGTTGGAGAGACGGAGAGGTTGCCCAAAACGATACCAAACAGATTAGGTAGAAGATTAAACAACATAAAAGCAAATCTGTCCACGCTAAATGAGATTACCCTCTAACTTAAAGTTAAAGCAAGATAATATTAAAAGGGACAACATCAAAATTCTTGTATTTTTAATTCTTGCTATATCTGTTTAGATATGTGGTCCAAACACTATTGAATATACAGACTACCTTTCACAAATTGGCAAACTCTTGGAGAAGTTTAAACATGAACCCAGTTTTAAACTCTGTTTCACACACTATTTTCAGATTAAGAGTTTTGTGCTGTATTACAATTAGTATGGTTTGTTTTTTTCTAAACAAAGTAGCTTGCTAGTTTACTGGAATCACAGTACGATGAGGGAATTTTCTTCCAGTAGTGAAATGCGAAACTTTCAGTACTTGACACTGTTTTTGTAAATGTTTATGCACATGGAAACGATGACACTACAATGTATGCATTCTTTTTTAATTTCAGGGCTGAAAATGGACTTGAGTGATCTGGCTAAAATAAAAAGTAAGTTGATTTGGAGGTTCTAAAATTATTTGTCAATTTAATAATTTTCATGTCAGATGTTCCATCCACTGTTGGGTCAAGACGAACATGAGTATTTGTTTCCCGACAATAGTTTACATATATACTGAATAGATAGAAATGTAATACGTTAATGCAGAGAACATCACAAAGTTCTTTATAGACAGAGTTGAATAAGAGTCAAATTTAGGGGAATGGATCAAAAATACCTGAAAAAATAAACATTGAGGAATATATTTAAATAATCACTCGGTAGATGGAACTTGCTGCAAAAAGCGACAGGCAGTCGAATATTTTCACTTTGAATTTATTGGGTCAGCAAAAATACCATGCCTCTGAGCAAGCAACCGTTGATAATATGAGAAGAGGGTGCTGATTAATTGGCGGGTGGATTCTGTTTGATGGTGCTGTTGCCACTGCAAATGCACTAGAGAAGAGTTCACTGCAAGCTTCTGTTTAAATTTAAATAACACAAGTTGACTTTGGTCAAGGAATTGCCGCGAGGAGTATGAAAATGGTGCATTGCATGAACATGTCCTTTCTGTTTGCAAATTACAGGGCCTTGCCTATAAATGCGTGTAGCTACCCACACTGTGAGCCTGACTGCTAATCTTTAAATTGAAGAATTGTAGCTCTCGGCACAAATGGGATTATTTACTAAGTGTTTTTCATCGTGGAATCACATCTAATGTCGGATACTGTTTGTTGTGAGTTTTACAAGCATGGGCTGATTAGTGTTGTGAGTCTCACTGAAGGGACATGTTTGAGATGATCTACTGATTATTGAAATTTACGCTGACTTACCTGGCATTACACCAATACTGACATCCATATATTACAATTCTCATCTGTGGGTTAGGCAGTCTATCTTTCTGATTTGATGACAGCATCCTGTTACTGGAGCAATGTCTTTTACACCTCATTGCATAATAGCACCGTGAAATGGTGAGCTTTACCTGTTGCTGAACTGTTTTAGAGACACCTTGCCTTTTCAGAGTAATCTGAAATAGACTGGGCACTTTTCAGGACTGAAATTGCTAGTCTTGGGGGGGCTGTTTATTTCTGATCTTTGCAATCATGTGATGGGTGTAGGCAATGACCACAGGACAGCTTTGCGCTCTACTTCCACATCAAATGTGCACGGTGAGCAACGAGAGTTTACAAAGATAGGATTGAAAAACTTGAAAGCTCTGCTGGTAGTAATAAAAATTGAATGAGGAAGATCACTGCATAGGAGACCACTACTAGAGATCTGAAGGCATAAGTTAAGACGTGTTACCATGGTAACATTTGGCATGAGGTTGTATTTATCAGTTCTAGGATAGCATGCTGAAATTATCTTCATCTTTTTTATTCATTCAAGGGATGTGGCTGTTGCTGGCGGCCCAGCATTTATTGCCAATCCATTGTGTCCTTGAGAAAGTGTTGGTGAGCTGCCTTCTTGAACTGCTGCTGAACATCTGCTATAGGTTGACCCACAATTCTGTACAGGAGGGAATTCTAGGAATGTGATGCAGCAACAGTGAAGGAATAGTGATACATTTCCAAGTCAAACTGCTGAGTGGCTTGGAGGGACACTTAAAGGTGGTTGTGTTCCCATATATCTGCTTCTAAATGGAAGTGGTCGTGTGTTTGGAAGGTGCTGTCTAAGGAAATTTGGTGAATTTCTGCAATGCGTCTTGCAGTTGGTTGCTAGCGATTGTCTGTGATGGAGGAAGTGGATGTTTGTGGAGGCAGTGCCAATCAAGTGGTCTGCTTTGTGCTGGATGGTGTCAAGCTTCTCGAGAGTTGTTGGAGCTGCAAATGGGGAGAATTCCATCACATTTCTGACTTGTGCATGGTGCACAGGCTTTGGGTAGTCAGGAGGTGAGTTACTCGCTGCAGGATTCCTATCCTCTGACCTGCTTTTGTAGCCACTATGTTTATGTTGCTGGTCCAGTTGAGTTTCTGGACAATGGTAACCTGAAGGATGATGTTAGTGGGTGATTTAGTGATGGTAACACCATTGAATGTCAAGGGGCAATGTTATATTGTCCCTTATTGGTAATGGTCATAGCCTGGCATTTTTGTGGTGTGTATGTTGATTGCTACTTGTCAGTCCAAGCCCGGATATTGTCCAGATCTTTGAACATGGACTGGTACAATATCTGAGAAGTCACAAATGGTGCTGAACATTGTGCAATCATCGGTGAACATCCCCACTTCTGACTTTATGATGGAGGGAATGTCATTGATGAAGCAGTTGAAGATTGTTGGACCTAGGACACTGCTCTGAGGAACTCGTGCAGAGATGTCCTGGAGCTGAGATGACTGTCCTCCAACAACCACGATCATTTTCCTATGTGGCAAGTATGAGTACAAGTGGAGAGTTTGTCCCCTGACACCAGTTTTGCCAGGGCACTTTGATGCCACACTCAACCCTTGATGTCAAGGGTGTCACTCTCACCCCACCTCTGGAATTTAGCTCTTTTGTCCATGTTTGAACCAAAGCTGTGATGAAGTCAGGAGCTGAGTGGCCCTGGCGGAACCCAAACTGGGCGTCACTGAGCAGGTTATTGCTGAGCAGGTGCTGCTTGATAGCTCTGTTGATGACACCTTCCATCACTTTACTGATGATTGAGAGGAGACTGATGGGGTGGTAATTGGCCGGGTTGGATTTGTCCTGCTTTTTATGTACAGGACATACCCTGGCAATTTTCCACGTTATCGGGTAGATACCAGTGTTGCAACTGTATTGGAACCGCTCGGCTAGGGAAGCACAAGTCTTCAGTACTATTGCTGGAATGTTGTCAGTGACTGTAGCCTTCGCAGTATTCACTGTGTCTAACCATTTCTTGATATCACATGGAGTGAATCGAATTGGCTGAAGACTGGTATCTGTAATGCTGGGGACCACCGGAGGAGGCCAAGGAGGATCATCCACTCAGCACTTTTGGCTGAAGATTGCTGTGTATCCTTCAGCCTTATCTTTTGCACTGATGTGCTGGGCTCTTCCATCACTGAGGATGGGAATGTTTGTGGACCCTCCTCCTCCACTGAGTTGTTTAATTGTCCACCACCATTCACGACTGGTTGAGGCAGGACTGCAGAGCTTAGATCTGATCCGTTGATTGTGGGATTGTAAAGCTCTGTTTATTACTTACTGCTTATGCAAGTAGTCCTGTTTGGTAGCTTCACCAGGTTGACACCTCATTTTCAGGTATGCCTAGTGCTGCTTCTGGCATGTTCTCCTGCACTCTCCATTGAACCAGGGTTGATTCCCTGGCTTAGTGGTAATGGTTGAGTGGTGGAATATCCCAGGCCATGAGGTTGCGGATTGTGCTAGAGTGCAATTCTGCTTATTTCTTGTATTTTCTTGAGTGTTGTGGACTACTTATTTAATTCATTACATACGTGGAGAAATATTAAATGATGTTAAAATTGCACACTCAAAGCAAAGTTACTGCTGTAATTTGAATGATCAACCTTGTGCTTGGAAGACTATCTGTTTCACTTAACGGTAGCATCCTGTTACTGGAGAATACCTCTCATGTTACTATTGCATAATTAGACGTGATACCATGATGGGACAGCACTTACTAGATCCCATTTGAGCTGACAATTACAGTTCTCGAACTTGAGATCAGCAGTTGGGCTCACGTTGTGGAGTTAAAATGAGCATTTTTCTTAAGCTTGCACTGATGCCTTGTTTGCTTTTTGTATCTTTTTATCTTTGAAAGAAATTCTACTTGATTTAGAAAATGCAATAGATGCTGTTGAATTATTACCAAATGGAAATGGCGTCACCAAACCAGGAAGGTAAGAATGGCCTAAATCCCTTTTATTTTTAATAATTTCGTATTGCTTTCAGTTTCAAATCATCTAATTAGTGTGCCAGCAAAGAGGATGCAGTGCATAGATTCTAAAAATAAAGTATAACTTGAAGGAAGTATAAAATGGGGTACCCTAATCATTTTGACGTGATATGAAATACTAGATGATTTTGGGTCTAGACATCAAATAGACTGCTATTGTTATACTTCCTGTTGCATGCCTGTTACTGGAATTTCTGTATCAGTGATTAATGCCACATTTACTATAGATAGAGGTAGATTAACTGCAGGTAGGCAGTATTTGTATTGTGAAGGTCGAATTAATAATTCTGTCCTATTAATGTTTCCAGTTGTAGTTACTTACTCTGACTAAAAGAAAAGAAAACCTGACGTAAATAGTACTGACAAGTACTCTAACTCTTGAAAGGTTGTTGCCGGAGACCTATTCTGCTTTTAGATTGGACATCAGATGGGAACCTTCAACACTGGTAGTGCTATGGAGCAGTGGGAGATCATTGGTATCATTAATTAAAAGTACGAGTATACTCTGCTTGACTTGCATCAATATTCACTGCTCCATTTTAATGCTGCAGCAAATATATGGCTGGAAAATGGAAGATATAGGAAGAAACTAGTAGCTGCTTTTTCAACTCTTTAAAGGAAGTGAGAAAATATTTTCTGAATAAATATTTATCAGTACTATTTTATGTCAGCTTTTCTTACTCTTTTAATAGTAATCTAAATTCTGTGATCATATTAGCATGCCAGAGCCTCAGCTTTTTGCAGCATATTACTGACCACCTATCTTTCTTTTGCCTGTCCACTCACCGCACACACACATCAGGAGGGAAAGCTCTCTATTTGGCTGGTTTGGTGCAGCTCCAACAACGCTCTAGAGGCTGTACACTAACCAGTACAAAACTTGATTTGGCATCCCATTCGCCACCTTCAACATTCACTCCCCTCACCACCAATGCAGCGTGGCAACCATGTGTACCATCTCCAAAATGCATTGCAGCAATTCACCCAGGCTCATTCGACAGCATGTTCCGAAACTGTGATCTCTCCTGCATGAAATGACAGGGCAGTAGATGCATTGGAGCACTGCCTACACCATGGCAACAACTCCCTCTCCAAGCCATACACACTCCTGACTTTGAACCATATTGCTGTTCCTCACTATTGTTGGGTTAAAATCCTGGAGCTGCCTTCCTAACAATACTGTGGGTGTACCTACATCCCAAGGATAGCAGTCCAAGAAGGCAGTTCATTACCACTTCCCCAGGGACAATTGAGGAATAAATACTGGCCCAACCAGTGACACGCTTATCCATGAATAAATATTAAAATATGAGTAACAGAAAATATTGTTCATATTTCTTACCCATTTGCAGCAATCTGTCCACAAAGGTTAATTTGGTATCTCTTACTGACACTACAATCATTTCTGTTTTACAAATCTGGTAAAATGACATGCAAGTCACCATGTAAAGGCATTGGTAGCCTTTGAATTCAGAACCATGAATGTGCAGGTAAAGCCTAAGAAACCTGTAGCTGCTCTAAGCTGCATTCCTATCCTGTTCTCCAGTTTGTTGTGCAGTCTTCCTGTTTAAACTTCAGTTCCAGCTGTGTTCCATTCTGATCTGCATGCTATTGTTCCCCATACGTGAAAGACACAAGGTCTGCTGAAGACTGGAGTCTGTCTCTTTATGTAATGCATTGGTATAATTATCAATGATGTATCACTTAAGAGTGTGGTTTAGTTGGAATGAGTATATTATCCACTTTAAGTGCCAGTGCTTTTAGTATTTGAAAAAATACTCGCAAGCAACCACCAATATCATGTAGTCATTTAGAATGTTGTGACTGCGTAATCAATAGGGAACAGTCTCAAATTGCTTTAAATTTAGTAAATTTAGAAAGCATCTGGAAACAAGTTGTTCATCATTTTTCATGAAGGTAATTTTAAAAAAAAGTACAATCAGTGACTGGTGTGAAAAGACTTGCTGCTCATTTAGCCTGCCCCACAGAACTACACTGCTTTGTAAAGCATTCAATAAACAAGTCCCAAAGCAATTGAAGAAAAAGATGAAAAATCCAAACTAATTAAAGGAAAGAAAATATGGAAAGTTGCACCTTCACTTCCTTAGGCTACCAACTCAACTCCAGGTCACCAGTCTCACCCTGAATTCCCTGTGGTATCTAACTTTTAAATTGGGTAATTTGCTGGAAATAGATCTAGCTCTCAGTGAATAGAATTCAGTGAATCTGGGTTCATCACAGCCAACACTACCCTCCTGCAGATGCTTGATGTTCTCTGGGAAATACCATGCCTGTTAATTAATGCAGAAATGTACAGTTTAATGAAAAATCTTATACACCCCAAGAATATTTACAGAATGTAACACCGAGCTCTAGCTAGCCTTGACTAGTCATTGGCCTCTACTTCTGTTGGGTATATTCTCCACAGAATGCCATTAATGACTGTACAAATGACCTCTCCGCAGCAGTGCGTTTTTCTGGGCCTTTTAACAATAACATTGTAGGGAGGAAAATAGTGATATTCTGTACCATTATAATAACAAGCCTTTCTCATTAAGAATCTTGCAATTGCTTTTAATCAGAAAATATTAGAAACTATGTGATACTTTACCTTCTTGAAGTGAGAATTTGATGTCTCCATTCAGATAAATCCGTAGTCATCAATTAGCGTATATACACTAGATGTAGAATTTTAAAATGACAGCTAGATGTAAACTACAATTATTCGGAACATTATGTTTTCCTACAGTGTTGCTATACCAACAGCTGTCATACCTGATGGTTCCTGGTTCTAAACAACTCTCAGTTGGCATTACCAAGCTCTATTTTTAATCTATTCAGTCAATGAATCTGATATCCAGTATCACTTTGATGCTGTGAGTACTCTTCTGTCTCCAAAATGGTATCTCTGGTGAAGACATAACTGCGGCCATTTTGGTTAATACGTGAGCATGTGCAGAGTAGGCAAATCTGCTAGTGGGTGAAACTAGAACTAGGGGGCATAGCCTCAAAATAAGGGGGAGCAGATTTAGCACTGAGCTGAGGAGAAACTTCTTCACCCAAAGGTGAATCTGAGGAATTCCCTGTCCAGTGAAGCAGTTGAGGCTACCTCATTGAATGTTTTTAAGGCAAAGATAGATTTTTGAACAGTAAAGGAAATAAGGGTTATGGTGAGTGGGCACGTAAGTGGAACTGAGTCCACGGATAGATCAGCCATGATCTTATTGAATGGCAGAGGAGGCTAGACGGGCTGAATGGCCTACTCCTACTCCTATTTCTTATGTTCTTGTCAGGATATCAATCAGTGTATAACATTGATTTGTAACTAGTGCTACGACTTAGGAGCACAGCACTCTAGCCTAATGCTCTCTTGTCTTTAATCTTGCACAACTGAGCACGAGCTCAACAGAAGAAAAGACCCCCATCCCCTCCTCTATCACTGGTATTTTAAGGGGTCATCAACTGCTTTCATGCTAGTTGCTGATTGATTCCTGCTAGGAATTGTATATGGTGATTTCCAAAGTTTTTCAGAGCCTATGCAAATGTTGGTGACATGTGTTGAAGGACTTTGTTCTGATTTCAAGCATTCTGCGTAGGCCATTTGCTTCCAGAAGAGTTTTTGTTTCCTCTTGGTTTCTGAGCATTATTACTAAAGCCAAATGCTTAACCCCAGTTGTCCTTGACAAGGTGTAGCTGAGCTGCCACCATCAAATGCTGTGGCTGTTCTGATGTAGGTGAGCCACTTCTGTCAGGGATGTAATTCAAGATTTTTATCCAGCAACTGTGAGTAAACAGTGATAGAGTTCCAAGAACAGCATGTGGCAAGAGAGGATCTTGCAGATGCTGGTATTCCTGTATATTTGCTGCTCTACTAGTTCTAAATATTTGAAATTTGACTTTGGAAGGTCCTGTTGAAGGAGACTTGGTGAATTGTTGCAGTGCATCTAGTCGATGGCACACACTGCGGCCATTTTGTGTCTCAGTGTTGGAGGCTGTCAGGAGGCAAGTCCTTAATCACAAAATTTCCAGGCTCCAACTTATTCTTTTAGCCAGAGCATTGACATGGTTGGCTCAGTGAAGTTTCTGGTCAATAGAACCCCCAAGATGTTGATACTGAGGGATTTAGGGATGATAATATCATTGAATAACAAGAGGAGACCGATCTCCTCTCAGTGGAGATAGGCATTGCCTGCCATTTGTGTGGCATGAATGTATCTGCCACATGTTCTCCAGACTTTGCTTCACATGGACATGGACTGCTTCAGTATCTGTGGAGTTTACAAATGGTGTGGTGACTGTTGTACTTTCATGAGCAAACAATCCCCTCTTCTGGCTTTATGATGGAAGGAAGGTCATTGATGAAACATTTGAAGATGGTTGGGCGTAGGACAGTACAGCACTCTTTGGGGTGTATGGTATTTGTTTTAATTAATGTGAAGTGTAAAAAGGGAGTCAGCTGGTTTGTAATGCAGAGTGATGCCATTAGCATGGGTTTAATTCCTGCACCGGCTGAGGTTACCATGAAGGTCCTGCCTTCTTGATCTCCCCCTCACCTGAGGTTTGGTGCCCCTCAGGTTAAACCAGCACCAGTCATCCCTCCCTAATGAGGGAGCAGCTTCAACGTTGTCTGGGACTATGGTGACTTGACTTTTACCTTCCTAATGTGAAATGTTCACTCAACCAATTAAGTCATTGCAATTTTCAAATTCTCATTTGCTGATGTGTCTTGGCAACCTTAATGGCAACATTATTTTCTGTATTTTCTGCAGTGCTCTATCCCACGGTTTTAGAACATTTAGCATTATTGCTGGACTAGTTAATAAGTTACAGTACATAAACAATGGCAAAGAGTTTTACGTTAGTATTTATGCACCACACCAGCATCATCATCTTTTCTTTGCTTTACTATTGCTTCATAAGCACCCTATTAACAGATTTTCTCTCTTTCTCTTCTTCTTACCTGATTTCTCCTTAAAGACATCTATGCCTATTTGCCTCAGCAACTTAGTGTTCTCCATTCCCATAACTCAAAGTAACAAAAATTTCTTGACCTTGTGGTTGACCTTGGTTGGAAAATCCTGTGCTTGACTCTTAGTATCCTCATATTTTAGAGAAACAGGATTGGTGGGAAATGACACTAGTTTGACCTTCCTTATAACTGAGCTTAGAAGTTGATGCCAAAACCAATGAAGTATTTATTTTACAATTCCTTGGCTCATATGACAAGCCACCTTGACAGAGAAGCAAGGTGCTGTTCCAGATGGTCCCTGTGAGACACGTGCCCAGAAAGTGCCACTGTTGATGTAAACGCTTGCCCCTTTATTGCAGCAGTGTTGTTCCAGGATTTGGCAAATGGTGAATATTTGTCCAAACATGCAGCTGGATGTCCTTCCCTGTGGACCTTATGAATGTAGTCTTATCTCATTATTGTATATAATAATTCAATCCCTGGCAGCAAGGCAAAAAGTAGCATTAATGTAATTTGTTTATTATTGTTAACTCATGGTTTATTATAATTAAAAAATTAAGGCATTTCTTAATTATGATAGCAGACGTACTGCCGATTCTGCAAGTATGAAATAATTGCAGATGTGCTGGAAGCTGTCTGTAGGTCAGGCAACATCTGACAGGAAAGAAGGTTGAAGACCTAACAGCGAAAGGTCATTGCCCTGAAACATTCTCTCTCCACAGATGCTGCCTGACCTATCTAGTATTTGCAATGTGTCCAGTTTTTAATTGAAGGCATTTCCTAGTTTTTGGGTGGTAACAACTTGTTTTCCTCTTAATAAATACTATGGTCTTCAATTCCAGCTTCATCTTTGAATTGTTTGCACAAGCTCAAATTACTTTCCAAAACAAGTCTGCAATTTTAGAAGCATTGGAACAGATCATCAGTGCTTTGTCAGCACGTAAGTATTTGATGTATTCTGTCTTTTCAATTCCTTGCATCACGTGTAGATATACAAAATTTTGGATGTTTCCTTACATCTGTCTTTGTGAAATATCTATCATTCATTGGGTCAGGCCAGCAAAACACTGAAATAATATAGTTTTACCGTAATGTTTTTGCATTAAAACTACCAAAAATGTTGGCTAATTTAATTCAAAGGACTGAACTGATGAATTGCAAGAATTGAAAATTGCAACATGAAAATCAGAGGGAGAAGCAGTGGACTCCTGATATCTTTGGGAAGTAGCAGCATGAGAAATGACTTGCATTAATAATTCAAATAAACTCATGCAGGAGGATCTTGTGTACATAGTAATTCATGTTATAATAATCTTGAATGTTTCAGTTATGTATGTACAAACAGTTGTATTTTGCTCTGCTTGGATGATGAAGGTGCATGTTCTTGTAAATTGTCTTCACACAGGAGTATGCAGTTCTAAAATGGAAAGCCGTAGTGATGTTAACTGTGTACTCATTGTTCATTGCTATGACTACTTTGTCTGCTTTCGGTGTTGATTTAAGGTTTTGATGCCATATCTCGGCACCCCCACCAAAAATTTGTGAAGTTATTCACATCATTGGAGCTTGAAATTAAACTAAACTAAATTCTTTACTCACCTGTGTATAGGCAGTGGAATATTCACCAATACAAGTGGATTACAGAAGGTAGCTGATATTCTTGAGGTAAGTTGGCCTCAGTAAACTGTAATGTTCTTGTTAAATGTGCAGTTTTTAGAGCACCATGTGGTGTTGAATGAAATTGCATCTTTCTCTTTAATAACTTGATCTAAAGAATTATTTTCTTTTTAGATTTGATTCGTATTCATTGCAAAATTGTAGTAGTGCCTGCTTCCAAGTGAACTAAGTGTACAAAGGATGGTGGGGGTATTGTGGCGTAGTAGTAGTGTCTCGACTCTAGTAGTGTCTGAACAGGTTGATTAAAATAGCCACAAAAAGATGCTAATTATGGAAAATGGGATATAGTCTGCAGCACAGTGATGTGTACCCAGAGGTTTGTATCTCAGAGAGAGTATCTGTTGTGTAGTCAAAGTGGTGTTTCCAGAGTTCTGAAGATCATGTGACAGTGTACCTTAAGATGTTGCTGTGAATGTGTTTGCTGGCTCCCACTGGGTGGCAGTGTTGTAATTCTTCTCTCCCTGCATTTCTGAATACCCTTCTTCAGCATTCTTGCCTGTCCCCACGTACCCTCCCCTCATAACCTTGTGCTGAATGAATTCAGTGTTTGTTGGGGAAGGAGTGCCAAAAATGACTTTTTCCCTGGTCACTGACTGACGTTAAAGCTTTGTTTGCAAACTCTTCATTTACTTTGACACCAAGCTCAATTTATGACCTCAGAGATAGTAAGAACTGCAAATGCTGGAGTCAGAGATAACACAGTGCGGAGCTGGAGGAACACAGCAGGCCAGGCAGCATCAGAGGATCAGGAAAGTTGATGTTTCAGGACCTGAAATGTCAACTTTCCTGCTCCTCTGATGCTGCCTGGCCTGCTGTGTTCCTTCATCTCCATGCTGTGTTGTCTCAATTTATGACCTTTTGTCTATGGCAAGCACATTCTCTGCACTGTCTGCTATCATGGCTCTGCCTCAGCCCCTCAGCTGCTGAAAACCTAGTCCTCTAGCTTTGTCAGCTTCAGATTAATTCTGATTCTGTTATCTGTAAACTTCAGTTTATCCAAATCTCTGTGGCTTGAGGAAGAAACAGAATAAATCTTAATTTAGATCATCTAGTGACTTAGTTGCATTGCAATGTTAAAACAGTCCACTATTCAAACTAATTTTCGGAAAATTGGAAAGACGATTTGGAGATGGTAGACACAAGCCAAAATACATGGGTTGTCAAGCTGCTGTGTGGAATAGTTGGTTAAATTGTTGGAAAGCCACATTTTTTACAAGCTACAAGGATTACTGTTGAAGATATGACCTTGAAATAAATGGAATAATTTGAATATATAGTTCTGCTTGCCATGGGTGTGACATATTCCTGTCTAGTTTTCATGGCTAAGGTTTTGCGCTCTTGGGAATAACTATATGTTCTCTGTTTAATTTGTCCTCTGGTTATGTCATTTCTCGTTGCCTTTCCCGTTTTGGATGGAGAAGGGAGAAAAAATAATGACGCCAAATACTGTCACAGTTTTCTTTTTTATCATAAAGAATATTTCTTGTAATTATGGACAGTATGCTTTACATGGGCCTCAAAAGGAAGCAAAGGCAGTACCTGGTATTGAATTATGTGTCTTGAATGGTAATGCCATCAACTAAGTGGAGCCTATGCATAAAAAAAAGTGACAATTATAAAATGCAACATATTTTTCCTTTGCAAAGGAGACTTAAAGGTTGTTTAACGCTTTTAAAATCTGACAAGTCTGATGCAGAGAAATTGTTCACTGTTACAAAGGGTTCATGTGATGTGTCTGGTGAAAGAGATATTTTGACAACTGCTGATGTACATGTAGATCATACAAGATGGAGCCAGTCTCAGAAACTTGAATCCATACAGAAAATGAAACTGAGGAGTCTTGCAGGATGAATGAAATCATCAGTCAAGGGAAGCAAACAATAGAAAATCAGAAATCATTCAGGAGCAAGGGGCAGAAACCAGAGCAGGTTGGTAGCCAGCAGGAACAAATTGGAACTAATTCAGCAGCATAGCAGAAAGCTGAGCTCCCAAAAGCATATCCGATGCTGCAGCAGCACTAGACTTATGTAAAATATGCACTGTCAAATGTAAGGGTGAAGGTCACTCAAGTCTAAAGCCAGATGATAAACAAAATTTGGTCCAGAATGAATGTAGATTTCCATTTTGGATTCAACAGTACAGGTGAATAAGAACTTAAGAACTAGGAGCAGGCAGATTAGCCCACGAGCCTGCTGCACCATTTAATATGATCAAGGTCTCAACTGCACTTTTCTGCCCAGTTCTGTAAGTTGTTAATCCTTTAAACCATTAAAGCTAATGGCTAATTAAAGATCCACCTTCTCAAGAAGATGCAATTCCTCTTCATCTCAGTTTTAAATCTGCCACTCCTCAGCCTAAAACTATGATCTCTTGTTCTAGATTGTCCCACAAGGGGATCCATCCACTATGTCTACTTTGTTAATACCCTTTAGCACCTGTATACCTCAATTAGATCACCTTCTCAATACTAGTTAGTATAGGCCTAAACTGCTCAATCTCCATTCCATAAATCAAGCCTTTAATCTCTGGAAAATTAATCTCGTGAGCCTTCTCTGAACTGCCTCCAATGCAATTACATCCTTCCTCAAGTAAGGGAACCAAAATTATATGCAGTGCTCCAGATGTGACCTCACCATCGCAGCAATACTTTCCTACTTTTGTGCACCATTCCTTTAGCAATAAAGGTAGACATTCGACCTAAGTGTTAAAGTCCATCAGGATGCATGTTAGAGGACAGTTTTAGAGCTAGTGGTAAACTTACTGCATTTACCTTTTTTGCAATGAATCTGTCTTTCTTTCTTCAGATTGTTTTCTGCATTGATTCGCCAGGGGGCACTACAGCACATACAATGGGACAAAATGTGACCAAGCATTACAAGGTTAGCTTTGAATTTTATGTTTTTTTTTCTTAAACTTGGTGTTCTAAGAATACTATTGTTCAGAGTAACGTCAGTGATTATTCTGAAATGTTTCGTTATTTTGTAAAATTATCAATTGTTGCAACCAATCCCCAGGCAAGGTTTCTCAATATATTACGGTTCCAGACACAATACTGCAAATTATCAAGCTGCCAGGTGAAGAGGGATAAACGGGCTCCCCTCCTTTATTCAAGCAACCCCCACAACCTGCCCACAGTTTTTCCCAGCACAGTTAATTTAGAAAAGATCCCTTCATTTATGCATGCCTTTCTCCCAGATCATATGAATTTACGCTTTTAAAAGGAGCCAGTTTGAACAGGCTTTCATGAATTAACGAAAGAAGGTGCAGATCAGACAGGAGGCGATTCCTGACAAAAGAGATATACAGGTCAGCTTCTGATTTCCATGAAGGTAGATGAAAGTCATTGCAGCCTTTACACTGAGTGAAACAAGGCTTAGCACAAAGGTTAAGTAGGCAAACAGTTCATTTCGAGGTTCTGGACTTTGCAGGTCAGCTGAAATCCTTTGACCTGTTTCCTTTTGACTGTGGACTTGCTACCCAGCTTCTAGCAAACACAGTGAAACTTATTTTTTTACCTGCAGCGCAAGGATGACTTGGAGTTTTCCCAGTTGTGGTCCCCACGCGCACACCTTTGCCCTAACGCAACCTCAACCAGGGTTGAAACTGGCTTTTAACCCCTGTTTTTGTGTATTCTTCAAAGGGAAACACACAAACATACCTCTTGCCAATATTGCTCTCTTTTCTCCCATCATGTTGAAATTCAGAGGGAGCTCACAGGAGATTTCAGTTTACAACTCCTTTTCCTTCCTGAGTTCTTCTCTTTGACATCTTGACACCTGTTAAATGTGATATTTTAGGGTTTCTCTTGAGACTACACATAATACACACAGGTCTGCCAGACAGCCATTGAATTATATTACTCAGAATTTACATTCTCAGTCGTTATTTGGCTGTATGCCCCATTTAAACACCATGTTGTAATTAAACATTTGATATTTCTGTAAGCTGTTTGATGTAAGATCTGTGGTGGTTTCAATATAATTTACCATGGTTTCCTGATTGAGAGTCCCAGACTGTAGACTTACTAATGCCTGGAAGTTACAGTATGCTTATCTTTACTGGAATTTTGCTACTGAATATTTAATTTTCCAATGTGTCTACAATGGGTTCCCCTAGGTTCATGTGCACCCAGATAACAGTGGGAAGAGGAAGCAACACAGAACTGATTTATGGACTTCATCTGTTACGAAAAAACAAGGTATGAATCCTGTCAGACTACTGGCAATAGTCCACAAATCCAACAAAAATAAATTTAAGTATCTATTTATTTGCTGTTTGTCAGTCCTTGGGTTCTTAAACATGTGGAAAATAAATACTATATTTGCCTAACTACTACAAATATTTTCTTTATTCATTCATGGGATGTGGGCATCGCTGGCTGGACAGCATTTATAGCCCATCCCTAATTACCCAGAGCGCAGTTCAGAGTCAACCACATATTGCTGTAGGCCTGGAGTCACATGTAGGCCAGACCAGGTGAGGATGGCAGTTTCCTTCCCTAAAAGACATTCGTGAACCAGATGGGATTTTCCAACAATCGACAATGGATTCACGGTCATCATTAGATTCTTAATTCCAGATGTTTATTGAATTCAAATTCCACCGTCTGCCGTGGTGGGATTCGAACCTGGGTTCCCGAATGTTATCTAGGTCTCTGGATTAACAGTCCAGCGGTAATACCACTAGGCGATTGCCTGTCCTCTAAATATTTGTGTTTCAAAGTAGGTCCTTTTTTCTGAGAACGCGCTCAATATGAGTTTGTTTTTTTTAAAAGTCCTAATACATCAACATTTAACATTCCTATAAACCATTGCAGCTAACTTAACCAACAGTACAAAAATATTAGCCTTAACACAATGTCATTTTAAAGTGTGTGTATATCGTGTGTATTTTAAAATATTTTTTATGTTATTACTTGTGCAAACTCATTGTATTGCAAATGCAACACCGTCCCAGTGGTGACACTGCATTGCCTGTAAAGTATGACACACAAATTGAAGAATAAAGTTTGACCAAGGTAGCAGAAAAGCATAAAAATAGGCCATTTAGCCCAACTTCTCTATGCTGGTGTTTATACTCCATGTAAACCTCCATCTACATCATTTCATTTCCCTTGTTACCTTTCTCCTTTATCTGTTTATGTAACTTTGCTTAAGCATAATCTATGCTGTATGTTTCAAGTACTCTACTTGAACAAAAGAAATATGGGCGGGAGAAGACTATTTGGCCCTTTTGAGTCTGTTGTACCATGTGATATAATTGCTAAACTTTTACCTCAACTCTATATTACTGCCTGTTCCCCATACCCATTTGTTTGGCAATAGATCAAAGGTCCATCTGTTTTGGCTTTGATGATGGATCATCCACGACCTCTCTGGGGCAGAAAATTCCAACAATTCAGGTGCATATGAATGAACATATTTTTCCTCCTCTTGATCTAAAATGATTTACCCCTTTATCCTGACACTGTGCCCTAATATTCTAGATTCTCCACTCGGAGAGATGACTTTTCAGTGCCTACTCTGTTGAGCCCTTTGTGGTATTGAGTTCCACATTCTATTCAGTCTCTGAATATAAAAGTTACTCCTGAATTCTGATGGATTTGTTGGTGACTATCTCGTATTTATGTTCACAAATTTTTGCCTTCTCCACAAGTGAAACCATTGTCTGTATTCCTATCCTATTAAAACATTAGAATTTTTGAGTCCTTCTTTATTCTGAAGAAAAGATCTCAGTCTTTTCTATCATAAATAAAGGAGAGCCAAGAAACATTTAAATACCCAGCCAAACCATCTGAAGCTTTCAAGTAGTTCAATTTATTTCTTTTCAATCCATTCCATTCACAATTCCTGAGAAATTTAAACAGTTGGAACTTGCATGTAGCCTAAAAGCAAGTAGAAATTAGTTAAACCTGGTAAGAATTGGCTCTGGACATGCTGCCCCATTGCAATCACCATCTGTTTTCAATGCTGTTTCTGGGAAAGAGCTATATCTGTTAGACATTTCGTTCCTGTACAAAAGGCCTAACAGTTCAAAGTGAACAAAGTGAATTTTTAAACTAAACATATGAGGAATGATTTGGTTGAAGTTACCCAAATATGGTCTTTGCACAATTTTAGGTAGTCAGTTGTTTTATTGTGTCCTCCAGGTTTCACTTTTTGCATGATATTAGTTTAACCCAAACTCCCTGATCTTAATTTCATTGAAGTCGTGAAATCATGTGTACAGTATTAGAGTTGAATATGTGTATACAGCCCCATGCTGGTATATCTACAAGTAAATATAACTTTGCAGAGAGTGAGTTAAGTAGCATGGAGCAGTGTAGTAACCATGTACAAGTGGTCTTGAAAGTGAAATATTATTTTGTGATATGCCTTTGCTCTTGAACATCAAAGGAGGAAAATTAGATTCTCTCTTCTTAGAGATGGTCATTGCTTGGTATTTGTGTGGTCCAAATATACTCCCTGTTTGTCAGCCCAAGCCTGATCTTGTTGTATATGGACCCGCTTCGGTATCTGAGATGTCATGAATGATGTTGAACATTGTGTAATCAATAGTGGACATTTCCACTTCTGACCTTATGGTGGAGGGAAGGTCATTGATGCAGCAGCTGAAGGTGGTTGAGCTGAGGAGAATGTTACAGGAGTTCCACAAGGTAATCTCCTGGGACTGAGGTGACTAGTTTTCAACAACCACAAGAACCTTACATGTGCAGTGTATGATGCCAGGCAGTGGAGAGTTTCTCCCCTATCTCTCGTTGACTTTGATGCAACAGAAGGCTCCTTAATATCACATTTGGTCAAATTCTACCTTGATGTCAAGACAGATACTCTAACCTCGACTTCTGGAATTCCCCTCTTATCCATATTTGTAATGAGGCTGTAATGAAGTCAGGAGCCACATGGCTCTGACAGAACCCAAATCAGGCAATGGTGAGCAGGTTATTGCTGTCTTAAGTGCTCCTTGCTGGTACTTTTAATGAAACCTCTATTAGTTTGACATTGATTGAGGGTAGATAAATGGGGCAGTGGTTGTGGATTCAATTTGTCTTGCTTTTTGTGGACAGGACATGCCTGGCACTTCTCCACCATTGACAGGTAGAGGACAGTATTGTAACTTATACTGCACAGTTTTGCCAGAGGAATGACTGATATGATCGAAAATATTAAGATTATATGTTTCTTAAAAATCTCTCTGAATGGACTGTTATGATGCATTGGGTAATTGGGCAGCTTTCAGAATCTTCATATTAACTGTCTGAAAGTTATGTGCTGAGGAGTAGAGATTTATTTAACTTGCTGATGGTATTTGATGCAGTGAAAATGAAAGACTATTTACTTCAGTTAGAGACATCAATTTAAAATTCTCAGTAAGATTTGAAGGATAGTGATTGAGAGACCTTGGAGGAGACTGAGAAATCAAACATCTGTTTTAGGAACAGAAGTAGACCTCGAGCTTGCTCTGGCATTCAATTAGATAATGGCCAATTTTTTTTTATGTTTCGATCACATATTCCTATCTGCTGCTGGTAATGTTTGATTCCATGGCCAAACAAATATCTAGCTACCTCCACTTTAAAAATATTCAATGACCTCACATCTGTTACATCCTGAAGCAGAGAGCACCAAAGTGTCTCAACCCTCGGAAAAAATTTCTCCTCATCTCTGTCTTAAAAGGGGCAACTTCACAATTTAAACTTTGTTGAATATGGAGCTTTTGTCATAGGGAATGGTTTGTGCAAAAACATCTGTGAAAATTTCTCTGGACCAGAAATCTAGAGGCCCAGGCTAATGTCCTGGGAACATCTGATGGAATTTAAATATAATAAATAGATTCAAATGAAAGTAACTTGGAAAAGCTAGACTCAGTGATGGTGTTTAAACTGTCATAGACAGATTTCCATCCTTTTGGAAACACTAGGCCCACGGCAATGTGAATGACTTGTAGCTGCCCTCTGATATGGCCCATAGTCAATATATTCAAAAGAAATTACGGTGAGGCTTGTATTCCGTGAAAGATTTACATTTTTGGGGAAATTGGATAAATATTTGAAGATGGAAGGCTATGGGGAAGGAACATGTTATTTGAAATAACACAGGCAGCATCAGAGGAACTGGAAAGTTGACGCTTCGAGTCCCGACCTGAAACATTAACTTTCCTGCTCCTCTAATGCTGCCTGGCCTGCTTTGTTCCTCCAGCTCTACACTGTGTTATCTCTGACTCCAGTATAGGCAGTTCTTACTATCTCTGAACATGCTATTTGAAGTTAGCTTTGGATTGATTCATTGACAACTGGATTGAGGTTATCAAGTTAGATATCTGTGAGGGAGAATGGACCTGTTAGGGAGGCGTTAAGATCAGAATTATAAAGTGCAAATGGAGTTATTGAAGAAATGGCTAAAATGCCTTATACATTTTCTTATTGATTTTTCATTAAAATTGTTTGAAACTACTGTATCCTCATTCTGAAAATTTGGAAGTGAAATTTGCAAATGAGCCAAAGCGATCAGAAAATATGGGTATTCTGTAAGTGTAACAATTATTTTCCTGCTTTTGGGAATATTTTACTTGTGGAATGTACAATGACCCCAAGTAATTTGGTAGATGTTACTGTATAGCTTGTTACTACTAAAAATGTAGATCATAGTAAATTACTGTAGGATCCTTCAGGTTTGCACTAGTACTGTGGCAGAATCCTAAACTGAGTTTTAAAATTTATAGTGGTAGAACCCAACTGAAGACTATCTTTATGTTTCAGTCATCTGCATCAGTATGGTTTATAATTTAAAACAAAATTGAACTAATACTCTTTTGTGTAAAAATGGTTACTTTGTTTAGAGCTGGATTGGAATTTAGATAGAACATATCCCACAATATTTCAGTATCCAGTTCATTACACTGATCATAACTCATTCACAATTTTTATTATAAATTGTCTAGTCATCCTATTTATTTATCAGGTAAATTGCATCCTTTTGTTTTATCAATTGGCCCCTAGACAACTTAGACGCTGGGACAGGTAATCTACTAGAACAACGTAGCTGTTAGAATATCGAATAGCAGTGAGATTTTTCTAAGAGACTTGAATACTGTAACACCTAAAAATATTCATTATGTTCACAGGAAAGATTTTAAGTTACTGGTGCTTCTGCCCTGGCTACAGTATGGCTGAGCTGGTACGCCAAGGGGTTCAATCCATCATCCTCACAAGTGGTACCCTTGCTCCACTGTCCTCTTTCACTTCAGAAATGCAAATGTGAGTAGGTTGAAATAACATGATCAAAAACATGTATTAAACATTATTCAACATTACAAGTGAAAATTGGATGCACTTCTAATATATAGTACAAATACACATATTACAAGTTGAGTAGGTTGAACATTTGTGTGTTCCATTGTGTTAGGGACCAGGCCAGACCCCCTCAAAATAGACCCTAACTTTTTCTTATTTTAAGGGCAGATGTGAAGTGGGTGTTCCAGGTGTGATACAACTGGTCAAACCACTCGGCTTTAAGCAAAACAAAATTTTAATTAAACGCTACAATTGAAACATGAACATGAAGCGGAATTTGGAGTAACTTAACTATTGGAAAACCTACCTAACCCGATACAGCAACTTAACCAATTAACTGTTCCAACATAGTAACATCCCATAAACATATCCCTTGGCAAAGAGGTAAATTCAAACACAGATTCTTAAGGCAGGAGGGAACAACCTCCAAAGAGAGATCTCAGAGAAAGTCAGAAGAATCCTTTACTGAAGCTTGTAATACTTCTGTTACTCAAAACATCTTGTGACTGCTACAGCTTAAAAAAAAACTAGATAAAACATGAGATAACAAGGTGTAGAGCTGGATGAACACAGCAGGCCAAGCAGCATCAGAGGAGCAGGAAAGCTGACGTTTCGGGTCAAGACTCTTCTGGAGAACTGGCCACTCCCCTTCCTTTGTTAAGCTGCTACTCCCTAGACTCTTTAGTACCTCTGCCTTTACAACCTCTCTTCAAAAAAAAACCAACGTCAAAATAACCTTTTTAAAGTGACAGCATCGTCAAAATTGCCTCAAGCTTCAGATTGAAACAATGAATAATCACAGGTGCAGTCATGATATTACCTGCACATTTATTTCATTTAAACTTGAGTCTGTGATACCATTACTAAGTCATTCCAATTCCAAAGAATAAGACCTTACTTCATTTTGTACAAATGATATATATATATTAGTTAAATGATAACATAGTCTTTCAGTGTGACTTTGGATTCTTCCAAAAGAAATCTAGATTTATTAGCAAATGGTATGATAAGAAAGCGTCCTTATTTAAACTTGTCCAATAATATTAGAATAATTTTGTTCCATGTTTATTTTGTATGCTGGTAAGCATGATTAGTCTTAATTGAATTCACTGAAGTGTTTTCTTTGATCAATAATGCATTCATATCTAATGGCTGATAAATTCATATTATTGGATGTTGATACATCTTTCAGCCCTTTCCCTGTCAGTCTGGAAAATCCCCATGTGATTGACAAACACCAAATATGGATAGGGGTTGTTCCGAAAGGCCCTGATGGAATACAGTTGAGCTCTGCATATAACCAAAGGTAGGATGCCATTGCATTCATATGACAAATAATACAAAATGATTATAGGTTTCTTGGCATAATGCAGCTATTAAGTAGAAGATTGAACTTCATACTAGACCTGTTTTACTTCCTTGTGTATTCTTGTATCATGCATTAGTTCATTACTTGGATTCACAGGGGTGACTGTTTGGAATTATTAAAATGTAAGTGCAGAAGAGGAAAAACGGCTTGAATCAAATGCACATGGAAGTGAATCAAATGCTCGCTCATAATACAACAAGCTTTGACATTCATAAAAACAAAATATTGCAGAGGCAGGAAATCTGAAATAAAGACGGAATATTCAGGAAGTATATAACAGGTCCGGTAATATCTGCAGAAAGAGACAGGGAGAGAGCCCGGGGTTGACATTTCATCTGATGCAATGCCATCAGCTTGGAGTGTTGACTCTTTCTTACACTGTCCACAAACATTAAGGTTTGTCTAATTTAAAATCATCTGTACATTCCTCACCTATTTCCCAAAGGCACACCAAAGAAATGTATTTAAAGATTTCAAATGTGTTTCAGTAACAACGGTAATGTTAGTGACCACATCCTGTATAGACCAATGAAGTTTGTGAAATGATTTGATAAGTATCATTTAAATCATAGTATTCTTTATACCTAATTGCTCCTTTATTACTGTGTTGTATGTGAGATTCTATTTTTAAAGTTTATTTTTGTATAATTGAAACACACGGTCTTACCTTTTGCTCATGGTTCAGTTGAATTATTTTTAATAATTTATGCTGAAAAATCTGCATATGAATTGTGATGGAAACTATTCTCACTGTTTAGGTTTTCACCTGAGTACATGTCATCCCTTGGAAAAACACTGGGTAAGTGGTGAATTTTTATTTCAAATTGACATTAAGTCACTGCAGTTTTATTGGTGTAATGGAACAGAGATAGATCTTACGTGGATTTATAGCTTTTCTTTCAGGTGTTTTGAGCTTGCTAGGTCATTTCAAAGGGCAGTTAAAAGTCAAGCTCATTGCTGTGCTTTGTGGGGTCTGGAATTGTATAGGCCATACTATGCATGGACAGCAAGTTACAGAACCACTGGACCCTGTAGTTTCATGGTTGTCATGACTGATACTTACATTTTGTTACCTATTGATTTAGTTAACTGTATTATATTCCCAGCTGTTATGGTGGGACTTCAAATCCCCTATTTGGATTATTAATCCATACCTCTGGATCACTAGTTCAATAACAGACCACTATGTTTGTATTGACCCTTCGCCTTCTGAATATCAAACACAATTGTCAGTGTCTTCTGCCTATTCAATTTGAGAATAGCGCTTGCATGTGAATGACATCCTGCTGGAGTTGTCCATTCTGTTTGTAAGTAAGGTCTAATAGTAATGTTCTGTTTTTCACCCACCACACAATGGTCTCCAGTTTTGCAATCTCATACTTACTTCACCCCCACATACTAAAATTCAAATGTAAGGAACAAAAGGTGTTGTTTAGTAAAAGGTGAAGATTGAAATACCAATTTAACTTCTGTGACTCAGTGAAATTATTATTTACTACATTGAGTAACATATATAGTAATGTCTCGGTAAAACCAAAAAAAAAATCACTTATGATGTAACTTTATTTGTTTGGAAATGTTATTTTAGTATAATGAAAAGCATGAACATATTTTGAAAATAAAATAATTTTATATTTAAATTTGTTAGGCTCCTTTGTATTGAAAATTACGAAAGATTAAACCTCTGAATTCCTTCTATGTACATATTTCCCGCATTTCAAAATCATCCAACTCTGGCTGCAGGTTTTCATCAGGTCCAACTCTTAAGAGGAGCTGGCATGAATAGTAGGATATCGTCTTGTTGATTACTTTATATTCAGTTTGTATTACTAACTAATGCCTTATAATATTTTTAGGAATTGGTACTTATTCATCAGATCCCATATCTGATCCTATTTTAGGACTTGCTCCTTGAACAAAGAACAAACAAAGAAAATTACAGCACAGGAACAGGCCCTTCGGCCCTCTAAGCCTGCACCGATCCAGATCCTCTATCTGAATGTGCTGCCTATTTTCCAAGGATCTGTATCCCTCTGCTCCCTGTCCATTCATGTATTTGTCTAGATACATATTAAATGACGCTATCGTGCCAGCCTGTACCACCTCCGCTGGCAACGCATTCCAGGCACCTACCACCCTCTGCATAAAGAACTTTCCACGCATATCTCCCTTAAACTTTTCCCCTCTCACCTTGAAATCGTGACCCCTAGTAATTAAGTCCCCCACTCTGGGAAAAAGCTTCTTGCTATCCACCCTGTCTATACCTCTCATGATTTTGTAGACCTCAATCAGGTTCCCCCTCAACCTCTGTCTTTCTAATGTAAATAATCCTAATCTACTCAACCTCTCTTCATAGCTAGTGCCCTCCATACCAGGCAACATCCCGGTGAACCTCTTCTGCACCCTCTCCAAAGCATCCACATCCTTTTGGTAATGTGGCGACCAGAACTGTACGCAGTATTCCAAATGTGGTCGAACTAAAGTCCTATACAACTGCAACATGACCTGCCAACTCTTGTACTCAGTACCCCGTCCGATGAATGAAAGCATGCCGTATGCCTTTTTGACCACTCTATCGACCTGCATTGCCACCTTCAGCGTACAATGGACCTGAACACCCAGATCTCTCTGTGCATCAATTTTCCCCAGGGCTTTTCCATTTACCGTATAGTTCGCTAGTTATTGTCTAGACCGATTATTGATGTGTCTTTTTCTGCTTTCTTGTATCTTTCCTACGAACTGTACCTACCCCGATTCTCCTTGCTTTCTTGTTTCTTTCCCACGAACTGTACCTACCCCGATTCTCCTTGCTTTCTTGTTTCTTTCCCACGAACTGTACCTACCCCGATTCTCTTTGCCCCTCAAGAATGTAGGTTAATAGGAGCAGGAATAGGCTGTTTGAACTCTCAAGGCTCCTCTGCTATTAGGTTAGATCATGGCGAATCTGATTCCACTCTCTCATCCACCTCCCCTTAATTTTAGACTTCCTTGTCATTAAAAATGAATGATAAATGACTTTCTATCATAAAACCAAAAGAACCGTGGATGTTGTAAATCAGAAACAAAAACAGAAATTGCTGGAAAAGCTCAACAGGTCTGGCAGCATCTGTGAAGAGAAATCAGAGTTAACATTTCAGGTTGATCACCCCTTCCTCAGAACTCCTCTCTGCCTCCACAGCTATCTAGGGTAGAGAATTCCAAAGGTTAACAATCTTCTAAGAAATGAAATTCCTCCTCGTCTCTGTCTTAACTGGAATTCCGATTCTCGGTTCGCCACCGTGTGGAAAGGCATTGAGCCTGTCAAGCTCACTCAGAAACTTAGGTGTTTCAATACGATCTTCTCTAAATATTCCAACCTCCAATGAGTATAAGCTCAATTTTGTGATCTTTTCCCCACAAGACAACCCCTTCACCTCAAGAATCAATTTAGTGAACCTTCTCTGAACTGCCTCCAATGCAAGTAAATACCCTTTCTTAAATAAGGAGGCCAAATCTCTGCTATGTTGCTCGTAGATGTAGTCTCACCAATGGCCTGTAAACCTAAACAAGACTTCCCTACTTCTTTGCTCTGTTCTCCTTGCAATAAAGGACAATATTCCGTGACTTGCTTTATCTACAGTCTAACTTTTTGTGATTTTTATATGAGAAAATCCCAATCCCTTTGGACTACAGCAGTTTACCGTCTGTCTGGTTTTCTATTATTCCTACCACAGCAGACATCCTCACATTTGCGATGTTATACGCAATTCTTTTGCCCTCTCATTTAACTAACCTATTTTCTTTTCGGAAATTTTCTGTATCCTTCTTGCGATTTGCTTACCTACCCACTTTGGTATTGTCAGTGCTTTTGGCTGGAAAACATTCTAATTGTTTTATTGAGTCATCTGAATAGATTGTTTATGGTTGAGGTCCTAGCGCTAATCCTGTGTGCGCCCCTCCTGCCCCTAAATAGTTATAGTTTGCCAAACTGAAAATGACCTATTTATCTGGCTATTTCCTGTTCATTTTCAACCCTCCAGCAAAGCTAATATATTGCCTTCAACACCATGAACTCATACCGTGTGCAGTTCCCTATTATATGATATTCTGTTAAATATCTTTGAAAATCCAAATATACTACACTACTTGTCACTCCCTTATCCACCCTGCTTGTTACATCCTCAAACAATGCCAGTACATTTGTCAAATGCTATAACATGTCATAACATTCAAAGCTATGGGCCAAGTGCTGGAAATTTGGACTAATATGTTTTATTGTAGTTTTGGCAGTACAGACACAATGGGCCCAAGGTCCTCTTCTGCACTGTATGATGCTATTTCCCTCATACGATCAGGCTGAGCCAATACAATTTTATGATTTTCTAAATGTCCTGTTATTACTTCCTCGATGATAGATTTCAGTGAATTCCCAATGACTAAATGGACTGTAGCTCGATGCTGTCTCTCACATTTTTCCTGAACCGTTGACAGTTTTTAATTCTTCTGGGCCTTTCCAAAATTTAGGGAGTTTTGGAAGATTGCAATGGATGCATTCACTATCTCAGCAGCCCCATTTTTACAATCCCAGCTTAGAAGCTATCAAGGCCAGAGGGCTGTCAGTCTTAAGTCCCTTTAGATTTTCTATATTTTATCTCCATTTCTCCCCTTGTTTTTCTACTCTTGTTGGAATGCTTTTAATGTTTTTTCCTCCATAATCATGATCGGTGGTCCCTTGCAGATGAGGATGACTCTCTTCCACTCTCAGGGTAGGTGGCTGAACAGACTAATGTGGCCCCCACAGGCTCTGTTACACTTGAGGCAGATGGTGATCACAGGGATGGGGTGGGTGGAGGATTGTTGCAACAGCGTGCTCCTTTCGCTGTTTTCGCCACCTTCCATTTTCTCCCTGACGACAAGTCTCGAGCTGCTCGATGCCTTCTTGGATGCTCCTCCTCCACTTTGGATGGTCTTGGGCCAGTGATTCCCAAGTGTCTGTGGGAATGCTGCACTTCATCACTGAGGGCTTGAGGGTACCACTGAAGCGTTTCCTCTGTCCACCTGGGGTTCGCCTGCTGTTTCGGAGCTGGGAGTAGAGCACCTGCTTGGGGAGTCTCGTGTCAGTCGTGTGGACAACATGCCCAGCCCATCGTAGCAGATCAATGGTGGTCAGTGCCTCAATGCTGGGGATGTTGGCCTGGTTGAGGGTGCTGATGTTGGTGTGGCTTTCTTCCCAGCAGATTCACAGGGATCTTACACAGGCAGCATTGACGGTACTGCTTCAGTGCCATGAGGTATCTGCTGTAGACACTCCATGTCTCAAAGCCATATGGGAGGGCAGGAACCATCACAGGTCAATAAACCATGATTTTGGTGTTGGATCTGATTCTTCTCAAACACCCTTTTCCTCAGGTGGCCAAAGGCTGTGCTAGCACACTGAAGCCGATACTGGATCCCTTCATCAATAGCTGCTTCGGCCAACAGGACACTCCTGATGTATTGGAAGCGGTCAACATTCTCTAAGGCCTCTTCATGGACCTCTACGATCAGGGATTTGGTCCACCATGCCGGGCCAGGTTGCGGATTTTGCGGATGTTCAGGATGAGACCAGTGTTCTCATGTGCCTCTGTAAAGGTGCTGATGATTGTCTGGAGTACTTCCTCAAAAGTTGCACACACACAAGCATCATCTGCGTACTGCAGCTTGATGACACTGGTCGGGGTGGCTTTGGTTTTGGCTGAAGATGGTAGAGGTTGAATAATTTCCTGCAGGTTCTGTAAGTTAGATCCACTCCAGTGGCGAGCTTGTCGGTGGTGAGGTGAAGCATTGCTGTGAGGTCAATTGAAAACGGTGTTGTGGCGATGATAATAATGTCTTGTATGCAAAACAAACTGTTTGAAGTTTCTCTCATTCTTTTGTTTCTTAATATTAATTCGTCACTGTCATCCTCAAAGGAACCATTATTTGCTTTAGAAACTCTTTATGTACTTTGTGAATGATTCATTTCCAGCAGTTTGTGAGAATGTAATATTCAGAGTACAATTCCAAAAGGTAACAATGCTCAATTCTGCCATGTGATGAATGGAGCTTATTGCAAGAGTTTTTTATAGGTCACATAAGTCAGTTTAGGCTTCATTTCAGGGCTCAGAATTAGAGAAAGACATGAGAAGACTCGATGTTAGGAGTGTGGAATCTTAATTATTCTGCAGGGAAGGTGTCCAGATCAATTGGATGACTCCTTACTATTAGAGTGAACTTGGAAAGAAGTTCTAGGAATTGGCAAGTTGCTAAGAGTCAGGGACATGACTCCGAAGTCATTCCCTGCAAAAGTGGGATAGTCACAGGCTCTGTGTTGGGGGAGGCTGTGAGGAGCTCAGAAGAAACCTGCGAGCATCAATATCTCGGCACAGTCGAGAGAGTGGCGAGGCGAAAAGCTTACTAGCAACTTCTGTTTGATGTAACTGAACAATATTGTTGCTCAGGGGTGGCCCAGAGACAGATATCCCTTGATGAAGTGAGTCAGCTGGGGGCACACAGCTATTTTGTGCCTGTGAATCAGTGCTGGATGCAAAAGGAAGCATACCAGACAGAAGCAGTCATCGAGGTAGTCAATGATGGAATAGTCCTTGAGGTGGAATCAAAAGCTCAGATAACCATAAGTTAATGATTGCAATGCTTTGTGAAGTTTAAGACCCACCATATCAGTAATGTCTGAGGTAATTGCAGATACAGCCCTTGTTATATGATTTGCCAGTGCACTGATTGCAGCATGGTTCAAATGAAACGTATCTCTACATAACAGCTCCCTCTTTCCCACGTTCTGGTGACAGAAACTAATTTCTCTCTCAACAGTCTTTCCAGCATCTATTCAAATCTCTGATCTTATTTATCTTAACCTATTTGCTTGTTACTCAGGTGGTAGCCCAGGGATCATTACATTTTTGGACCTGTTTTTTAATTTGGATCATAGCTGCATATACCACCACAATCCCCACCTCTTGGTCCTAAAACTGTGCCATCAGTACCCTCATGGACCATGACTGGATCCTTCCTCTCCAGCCCTGAGGAGATGTCCTTAAGCTTGACACCACCGGACAATATAGCTTTGAGGACTGTTTCTGTCAGCTGCACAAAGCAGCTGTTTTTTCTAACTATATTGGTCCTTACTGTTAGTACATTCCTTTTTACTCCCCCACCTTGAATGTACTCCAAACCAATGTGCTCTACAACATAATCAAATATCAATTCTGTAAAGCTTCCAATGCTCTAAAGAAACAAAGCATTTAGTGAAGTGTGGTTCCAATATTTTTTTAAAGAATCACGTTCAGTAATACATTTTAAGTGGTCCTTCCAACTTGTTTTGGCAAAGTTTGGAATGTTTGATAAAAACCGAAAGAACTACGGATGCTGTAAATCAGGAACAAAAACACCAGTTGTTCCTGACCGACGCTTTCCCAGCTACCATCAGTTCTGAGGAAGTGCCATCGAACCTGAAATGTTAACGCTTGATTTTTTTTCTTCACAGATGTTGCCAGACCTGCTGAGATTTTCCAGCTACTTCTGTTTTTGTTTGGAATGTTTGAATTGACTTTTCACATCCCATGATTTATTCCATTGCATGTTTGTTTGCTGTCTCCACTTTTAGTTAATCTGTCCAGAGTCGTGCCAAATGGGTTGTTGGTGTTCTTCCCATCATATCCCGTCATGGATAAAAGCCTTGAGTTCTGGAAAGTAAGTGACCGCAGAATTCTTTTGAATTCAGCCATGGAATGTGCACGAAGCCGCCTCTTCACCCTTATAAACTGAGAGGCACCATCAGGTCAATTTAATGAACAATTAAGGGTCAACCAAATCGCTGTAGTTCCATATCGAAAGAGACACTAGTATAATGAGATTGCTACTGGACTAATAATCCAGAGCTATCATTCTGGCGACATGGGTTTGAGTTCAGTTCAAATCGTGGAGTGATTGATGAATAAGAAGCTAGTCTCAATAGTGTTGATGATGAGACTATCAGATTGTGGTAAAAACCCATCTAGTTCCCTGCTGTCTTTCCGTGGAGGAAATCTGCCATCTCTACCTTGGTCTGGCCTGCATCTGACTGCAGACCCGCTCAAGGTGGTTGACTGTCTTCTGCCCAGCAAGCTGCTTGGTCATTGCCAAAGTCATAAAGGGATAACATCAGATGAGCCACGTAAAGTTAAGCTAGGTATCCGAAAACGCCAAATGCACGTCAAACCCTATCGAGTGTGCAAACCCCACTTCTGAACATCTGGAGATTGTGCTGTAATTTTGAAAGCCGTCTCACGGACCGGTGTAGTCATGCTCTCAGAATCTTGCCAATTGTCAACACAGACTGATCAGAGGTGGCGGCACAGTCGTATACAGACGTAAGGGACTTGACCTAGAGTCTACAATATTGATGAAGCTTCATCGCCAGGTCAGATATGGGCAAAGAAATTGCCTACCAATTACCACCTACTGCCCTTCCCAATATTTCAGTCCTTCACCTCTTGGGAGGAAGCACTGAGGGTGGCAAGGACACATCGTATACTTTGGGCGTGGAACTTCAATGTATTGAACAAATAAAGCGGGGGGCGGGGAGGGGGGCAAGAAGTTAATAGATTAAGTATAAATTTTAACAGTTTACTTGTGTGTAGTTTATTTTTAACAATGAATGTAAATATTTCCATTGACCTACTTTCACACCTGGAGAGCATATGACATCTACATATATTCATTTCTTACATCAGCAAAATTATAAGTCCCTTCAAATTTGTTGGATGAAATTCTGAACAAGTTTAAAAATAGTGATACCCAAATTTTCCTCTCGCGTGTGTGTTATGTAACTTCTGTAAATGTTTTTGTACAACTTTAGAATATGTTGTCATCAAGAGTCAAATGACAGAATTGCTTCACTCTTTTCCGTTTCAAACTGTTTTTCCTAACAGGAGCAAGGCATTTCCAATAGAATAGAAGAGATCAAACCCATCTTTGTGGAAGTGAAAGGCAAAGGATCATTTACAGAGGTTTGCTGTTTCTTGTTTTTGTTTCCTTTTCATTGGTTTGTAAATCTCCACGCGATTCCATTCACTCCATAAAGAAATAAATGACTGCACACATCTTGACTGTTTTTGGCGTTTGGTCTGAGTTTGTACATTTTAACTTACTCATGGCAAATCAATTTCAGGTTATGGATGCATATTATGATAAAGTGAGTGATCCAAAGTCGAATGGAGCTTGTTTCTGTGCAGTGTGCAGAGGAAAGGTGAGAAATTAGACCTTACTGAACAATTCCTCAACAAAGAGCCTCGTTTTAATTATCCAAGTAATATTTAGGTTGTACACAGTTACTGAATGGAATCCAAAATGTTGACTACCTGTGAATGTTGGCTGTGCTATCTGAAAGTAGCACTGGGGGCAGAAAGCAATAGGATGAATAGAGAAAGCCAGAACTGCAGATGTAGGAGTCAGAGACAACACAGTGTAGAGCTGAAGGAACACAACAGGCCAGGCAGCATCAGAGAAGCAGGAAATTGATGTTTCAGGTTGGGACCCTTCTTCAGAATTGGGAGCTGGTAAATAAATAGAGAGGAAAGTTGGGTCTGGGGAAGGTAGGAGGTGATAGTGAATGCAGGTAGGCAGTGGTGGGGATTGGTTGGTGGGAAGGATGGGGCGGCTAGGTGGGAGAGAAGATGGACAGGTTATGTCAGGTCAAGGAGGCGGGGATGAGAGGGGAGGGTTGGACATGGGATGAGGCCGGGGGTGGGGAGATTTTAAAAGTGCTAAATTCCATGTTTAGGCCATCGGACTGTAGGCTCCCGAGGTGAAATACAAGGTGGTGCTTCTCCAGTTTGCGGGAGGTGACATTGTGGTATTGGAGGAGGCCCAGGATGGACATGTCACCCAGGGAGTGGGAGAGGGAGTTAAAATGGTTGGCAACCAGAAAGTGTTGTTGTTTGTCACCTATAAAGCGGTCTCCGAGTCTGTGCTTGGTCTCACCGATGTAGAAGAGGCCACATCTGATTGGTCCCTACGAAAGGCAGATAGGGATGAGGGGGAGTATCTCTTTGGTTGTGGGGTTGGGTTGTGTTTGGCGGAGAATGATATGCTGACGGCTGAGATTGGTGGGATGATATGTGAGGACAATAGGATTCCAAATGAAAAAGTTAAATTAAACAAACTAGTTAACTAGAGGCAAGTTTTTGAATAAAGGCAAAATACTGCAGATTCTGTAAATCCGAAACAAACACAGAGAATGCAGGAGAAATTCAACGCATCTGGCAGCATTTATGTGGAGAGAAACAATGTTTTGAGTCTGGCATGATTCTTGTCTCCACAGACACAACTGACCTGCTGAGTTTCTCCAACATTGAGTTTGTTAGGAGTAAGTTTTGTTTGTTGGGGGAGGGAAGCATTACAAAAGGAAGTATTTGATAAAGTTGTTGGACTTGTAAAAATAATTCAGCAGTAGAATTGAAGCAATTGAGATCTTGGCATCAGTTACCTGCCTTGTACTGCCACAGAAGGTAGTTTGAAGTGCATCAAATTTGAGAAATAATCAAAGATGTGGGAGGTAATATTGTTCTGTGTTTTCATGAGATTAATAACTGTAGACAATGCTTTCATGTAAAACTTTAATAGTACAATGTGATCATGGGTTACCTTGCATTCATTTCATCTGGTTTGAACCCAGGCCAGAGTGATAGAATGAACCAGAAGCTGTATTTGTTGTTCTTCAGGCTAGCGAAGGCTTGGATTTTGCAGACATGAATGGGCGAGGTGTGATTGTTACTGGATTGCCTTTTCCACCTCGGATGGACCCTAAAGTAGTGCTAAAGATGCAATTCCTTGATGAAATGAGACTGAAGTGTGTTGGAACTGCTCAGGTATTGCATACGTAAAAGTATAAAATTGTTTAATAGATTTATCCTTTTACTAGTTATCTGGTTAAAGATTTATTTTGTGCTTATGGTGTTTTCTTGATTACCCGATTTACTGGTTATCACTAGTTTGTACCTTAAATCCAAATGAAGTTGTAAACCTTCTCTCTTTGAACATGTCTGACATGACAGGTGCATTAGGATTAGATGAACACCATTCTAGAAACAACTTCAACTGTTTCAACGATGCACAAGCATTTTTACTTAATTTTTTTCATGTTGAATAGTGTAGGATGTCCTCAAGGATGTTATTAATGTTAGTTCAGACACGCTTCACTAAGTGATTCCACAACCAATGGGTTAAGTCTAAGCTCTGTAGACCTACCACATACGGTTGTGAATGTGTTGAATAATTAAACAACTTATTGAGACAGAGGCTCTACAAATATCTCGATGTTAGAGGAGACCAACATGTCAGTGCAAAAAGTAAGGCTGAAGCATTTGCAACTATGTTCGAACAGATATGCCAAGCTGGTTCACCTCTGCCTCCTTTGGAGGTCCCTGGCATCTCAGATACTAGTCTTCAACCAATTTGATTCACTCTACATGATATCAAGAAATGGCTAGAGGTACTGGATGCTGTAAAATGTATAGCCCGACAGCACGCTGGCAACAGAATCGCAAAATTGTTATGATTCCAAAAGGAGGCTAATCAGCCCCTTTTTCCCCCCCCATATCCCTCCATGCCATTTTTACCCAAATAGTCATCCAATGCCCTCTTGAATGCTTCAATTGAGGTTCCCACCATCACATTTCCAGGCAGTGCTTTCCATACCTCGCCCTTCTTTTGCGTATCACTTTAAATCTGTGCACTCTGATTCTCCTTTTCCTCTTTTACGATGGAGAACAGCTTCCCCTTTTCTATTCTATCCAGCCTGCTCATGATTTTGAAAGCCTCCATCAAATTTCCTCTCAGCCTTCTTCTCTCCAAGGAGAACATTCCCAACTTTTTGAATCTATCCTCTAGTACGGAAGACGTGCTTGAGAATTTGCTGCTCCCCAAAGTGAGCTGTTCCAGTACAGCGCCAACACTGCCATCTTCCCAACAATGTGAGCAATTGACCATCTATGTCCTATACACAAAAAAAAACTGGATCCATTTAACCTGGCCAGTTAACATCCCAACCATCTACTTTGATCATTGGTGAAATGGTGGAAAGAGTCATCAATAGTGCTCTCGAGCATCAATTGCTTTGTAACAACCTGCTCACTGATTTTCAGCATGGGTTCTGCCAAGGTAGCTTGTTACAGCCTTGGTCCACTTGATGTGAGAGTATGCAGTCTAGTCTGTGACTTTCCCACAAGAGGAAATTATCTCTCAGTATCTACCCACTCAAGCCACCAAGAATCTTGTGTTTCAACAAGATCACCTCACATTCTTCTCAAGTCAGTGAATACAGTTACAACCTACTCTCATAAGAAGATCCATCTATACCTGGGATCAACCCTCAATTCATCTCACTATCCATAAGGTAAGACCATAAGGTCTAGGTGTAGCAGTAGATCGTTCAGCCCATCAAGTCTGCTCTGCCATTCAAATATGGCTGATACGTTTCTCAATCTCATTCTCCTGCCTTCTTCCTGTAATCTTTGATCCCCATACTAATCAAGAACCTATTTGTCTCTGTCTTAAATACTCTCAATGACTTGGCCTCCACAGCTTTCTGCTGCAATGCATTCTGCAGATTCACCACCCTCTGGCTAAAGAAATGTCTCCTCATCTCAGTTCTAAAGGGTTGCCCCTTTACTCTGAGGCTCTGCCCCTGGTTCCTAATCTCTCTAGTGGAAACTCAGCAGGACATCTCTGCTGTTGTATTCTAGCCCCCTTGAAATGAATGCCAACATTGCATTTTCCTTCCTAACCTGCATGTAAACATTAACAGAATTCAGAACTAGGACTTGTAAATCCCCTTGTGCTTCAGATTTCTGAAGCCTCTCCCCATTTAGAAAATAGACTATGCCTCTACTTTTCCTATCAAAGTGTATAACCTCACACTTTCCCACATTATATTCCATCTGCCACTTCTTCGCCCCACTCTCCTAGCCTGTCGAAGTCCTTCTGCATCCTCCACGCCTCCTCAACACCACCTGCCCCTCCACCTATCTTAGTATCATCTGCAAACTTAGTGATAACAGCTTCATTTCCTTCATCCAAATTGTTAATGTATAACGTGGATTGTTGTGGTCCCAACACTGACCCCTGTAGAACTCCATTAATCACCAGTTGCCAGCTTGAAAAAGGCTCCTTTATCCTCACTCTGTGCCTTCTGCCAGTCAGCCAATCCTCTGTTCATGCCAGTGTCTCGTCCCCAACACTATGGGCTCTTATTTAGCAGCTTCCTGTGTGGCATTTTGTTGAAGACCTTCTGGAAATCCAAATCGATCATGTCTCCTTTGTCTAACTTGCTCATTACCTCCTCAAAAGAATTCTAACAGGCATGACTTCCCCTTGATGAAGCAGTGGAGACTCAGCCCTGTTTTACCATGCAGATCCACAATCTCATGCTTATTAATGGACTGTAAAATCTTAACAATAACCAAGGTCAGGCTAACTTGCCTATGATTTCCTGTCTTCTGTTTGCTTCACTTAAGTAGGACTATTATGTTAGCCATTTTCCAGTTGTCTGGGACCCTCCCTAACTTCAGTGACTCTTGAAGCTTCACCAGCAATGCCTCCACCAACTCATCAGCTATCTCCTTCAGAACTCTGATGAAGACACCCTAATGTGGCTAAGAAACTCTAGCAAAGGTGCAGTACTACAGATGCTAGAATTTTGAAGTAAAGTCAGGATATGGGGAAGCGATGGCCTAGTGGTATTATTGCTGGACTGTTAATCCAGAGACCCGGATCATGATCCAAAAGCCCAGGTTCGAATCCTGCCATGACAGATGGTGGAACTTGAATACAATTTTAAAGAAATCTGGAATTTATGAATCTAATGATGACCAAGAATTCATTGTCAATTTTTGGAACAAAGCCAACTGGGTCTCCAGACCCACAGCAATGTGGTTTAGTCTTAACTGCCCTCTGGGCAAATATGGATGGGCACTAAATGCTGGCCTAGCCAGTGACTCCATCTCATTAATGAATAAAAAAAAAACTAGAGATAACTAATCGTAGCAACACCTAAGAAGAAAGAAAAAGGATTAACTTTTCAGATTGGCGTTTCATCAAAACATTCTGATGAAAAGTTAGAGAAGTTACTAAGCAATAGAAAGGGAGGGGTGGAATAACAAAAGGGAAGGTCTGTTTTGGGAGAGTGGGCAGAGTAGATTAAATGTCAAAAGTCTCTGTGGTGCAACGATCAAGGGAGTGGTAATGTCGTAAAGAAAACAAGAGATGTACCTGGAAGACGTGTGAATGGCAGAATCGTGAACAGCAGCTATTGCAAGTGAACAAAAAACATTAAAGTCAAGACTAGCAAAGAAAAAGGGAACAAAATGCAGGCCATGGTTGAAATGATTGAACTCCATGCTGAGTTCATCAGGCTATAAACTCTCTAATTAAAAGATGAGATGCTGTTCCTAGTCTGTGTTTGGTGCCTCAAATGTAGAGCAGACCACAGTGAGCAGCGAATACAGAATATTGTATTGAAAGAAGTACAAGGAATCAGCAGATATGAGTGTTTGAGGACCTTGGAATGTAAGAAGAGGGAGGATATAAAAGACCAGATATTGCATTTTCTTTGACCCATATAGAAACGAGAGAGAGGGTTTTGGTTGGTTGAGTAAGCAACGGTGTAAGAGAGGGATGATGCTTTCAGAATTCTGAAAGGGAAGGTAGGGGAAGATGCGTTTGGTGATGGCATCATGGTAGAAATAATTCTATTTCTTGTCAGCAGTTATTTTGGAGATTACATGGTAAATCTAAACAAAGCTGGTCACGTCTTTGTGGAACAATTTGTCATTCATACCTACAAAACAAGGTTTATGTGATTGAAGATGTCATGATGTTGACATGTGAACACTTACAGCGTGATTTAAAGGATAAAGCTGGATAACATTGATTTTTTTCAAAGCATTTATCTGGACAAGAATGGTATAGACAGCAAGCATCACGTGCTGTCAATCAAGCCATCGGCAGGGTTATTCGTCACCGCAATGATTATGGAGCCATCTTCCTGTGTGATCATAGGTGTGTAAGTAGATTAGATTTTGTTCAAACATCTTCCAATAAGCAACATTGATTTTTTTTTAAAGCTGTGGAATTGACTAATAGCATAGCTCTTTTCTTGCTACCATATATTTCAATGCTTAGTAATCTTAATTGACAGAGACTGCATGTGTAATGTATTCTGTTCAAGCATTTGAATGGTAAAATTTGTCCATTTATTCTTGTCACAAGTGTGATTTTGCTGTGTGGATACAAATCTGCCTTTTGCCATTTGAACAGGTGCAGTAGTTAAACATTGATATTACTGATGGAGATTCAGTTTTTCTTTGCTGTCATTCACCAAAGTTAACTGCTGTTTGTCGGAAAACATCTTCATCTCTCTACGCCTTTCTATTAGTGGTTCCAGAGCTGTCTTCCCCTCTCAAAACAATGTAGAAATGGTGAAAAATACTCAGTAGATCAAACAGCTCCCCATTGCAACACCTATCCCTCCACAGCCCCCTCTCCCCTTCTTCCCCACCAAACCACCCCCACCCCCCCCACCCCTCATGATGTATTTTGAATGATGATAATGGCATCGATGAAGACTCATTGGCAAACGGGAAGCAAATGGTAGAGCTAAATGGGTCTCTTGTGTATTGGCAACCTCTGATAGAGCGTGACAAGGACCAGTTCTGGGGTCTCAACTGCTTACGATCTATATAAATGACTTGGTTGTTAAATGTGGGGGGGGTTGTGATCCGGGGAGGTAGGAGTAAGTGTCGGAGAGATGGTATTTGGCCTCTGCTAGCTGAAGGTCAGTACAGTCCTACTCATGTTAGTGGATTTGTCAATGTTATGGTTGGGTCTGAGAGAATGGTGGGCTACCCATTCAGAAGGATTTGGGTTGGAGTGAGTTTACCTCCTGATTTGTCTTTTTTCATGTTCTTATTTAGTGATTTTGCTACAGTGAGTTCATTCCTGAAGTTGTTTGCATTCTCGCTATGTGCCTACTCTTGGACAATACGATTTCAATGACTGGCTAATCTTTCCTTGCCTGCCAAAAGCAAAGCTAGCTCAGCAAAAATGACAGTGATTAAAATGGATTGATGAAACTGCGTATGCTGATCCTTTTAAAATGTAGGAAGAATGATACATTTTGCACACATATTTCAACAGTTGCAATTTTTGTTTTTAACATTTTAAAACAAAGCCAGGAAATAACTTGAGAGTTAGCTTTACAGATTGACTCAAAAGAGCAGCCACATTTGGCATCAACTAGATGTTAATTTCAAACTTAAGTTCAAAATGATTTTCCTAATCAACCTCACTTGTATTCTGACCTTATTTTCAGATTTACTGGAACGGAGGTAATGTCACAGTTGCCATCATGGGTGCGGCCATATATCAAAATCTATGACAACTTTGGACACACAATTCGAGATGTATCTCAGTTTTTTCGTATTGCTCAAAAAATTGTAAGTACCCAGTGTTTAATTTGAAACTATACAATGCTATCTATAAGATAAATGTTTTGTACTCAGAAGAAAAGTAAGATGGTGACTGTTAGCTTATGTTCTTGAAATCCTATGGCCTCCTGGATTAGTTAAGTGTATTCCGAAATTTTGTTCATGATGTACAAAACTGTACATAGGGTAGTCGATCTTTAACACTTACATGTTGCTACAGTATGTTTTACAGTCATCATGTTTATTCACTGTGTGCTCATCCTTCTGAAGATGCATGGACAGGGTTGACAGTCAAAATCTCTTTCCCAGAGTTGAAATGTCTAAGATTAGGGGGCATGCAGTGAGGGGGGGGGGGGAGGGGGGGGGGGGGGGGGGGGGGGGGGTGGGTGTGGTGGGTGGGAGTTCAAAGAAGATGTGAGGGGCAAGGTTTTACACAGAGTAAGAGGAGTCTGGCATGTGCTGCCAGGGGTTTGTTTTATTCACAAGAATCATTTTTTTTTGTTTATTTGCCACTTGGGCTGATAGGCATGAGTAACATTAACACCAAACAATAACTGCCTTCGGTAAGAATACAGGTCCTGGGAACTAGATTCTATTATACTAACATAATAGAATCCAACAGCATCAACAGCCTGGGGCCAAGCATTAACCAGAAACTTAACTGAGCCAGCATGTAAACAAGAGCAGGTCACAGCCTGGAATTCTGTAACAGAAAATTCACTCTCTGACCTACCAAAGCCTGCCCATCATCTGCAAGGTGCACGTTAGTGTGATGGAATACTCTATACTTCCCTGGGTGACTCGAGTTCCAACAATATTCAAGAAGCTCAACATTGTCCAAGATAAAAGAACCCACTGGGTTGGCACCCAGTTTACAACTTTTAAGATGTTTGTTTCCTCACTGCCTATGCTCAATGTCAGCATTATACACCAGATTGCATTGTAGCAATTTGCTAAGGCTTCTTTGTCAGGACCTTACAAACCTAAGACTCTGTTACCCTAAGCCACAGGGGCAGTAGGCAGGTCGAAACATTGTCACCTGCATGTACCCCTCCTGATGCATACCATCCTGACATATGTAGAACAGTACAGCACAAGAACGGGCCCTTCAGCCCATGATGTTGTACTGAACAGGACACCAAATTAAGCTAATCCCTCTTGCCTGCCCTTAGTCCGTATCCGTCCATTTCTTGCATATTGACATGTTTATCTAAAAGCCTCTATCATATCTGCCTCCACCAACACCCTTGGCAGCACATGCCAGACTCCTCCTACTCTGTGTAAAACCTTGCCCCTCACGTCTTCTTTGAACTACCCGCTCCCCCGCCCCACCCCCCTCACCTTCAGTGCATGCCCCCTAATCTTAGACATTTCAACTGTGGGAAAAAGATTTTGACTGTCAACTCTGTCCATGCGTCTCATAATTTTATAGACTTCTATCAAGTCTCCCCTCAGCCTCCGCCGCTTCAGAGAAAACAATCCTAGTTTTTCTAGCATCTCTTTAAAGCTTACACCCTCTAATCCAGGCAGCATCCTGGTAAATCCAGCATCTGCATCCTTCTTGTAATGTGGCAAACAGAATTGAATGCAATACTCTAGGTGTGGCCTAACCAAAGTCTTATAAAGCTGCAACATCCTGAGTCTTGTGCTCAATGCCCTGACCAATAAAGGCAAGCATGCCATATGCCTTCTTTACTCTTTATCTACTTGTGTGGGTATGTTCAGGGAGTTACTGACTTGAACCCCAAGACACTTCTATACATCACTGCTGTTCAAGGTCCTGCCATTAACTGTTCACTGTTCATTAACATTTGATCTCACAAAGTGCAGCACCTCACACTTGCCTGGATTAAACTCCATTTGCTATTTCTCTGCCCATATCTGCAACTGATCTATATCCTGCTGTATCCTTTGACAACCTTCTACATTATCCACAACTCCACTGATCTTGTGTCATCTGCAAACATACCAACCAACCCATTTATGTTTTCATCCAAATCATCTATATATATCGCAAACAGCTGAGGTCCCCGTATGGATCCCTGTGGAACACCACTAGTCACAGAACCTCCTGCAGAAAAACACCCTTCCACCACTGCACTCTGCCTTCTATGGGCAAACCAATTCTGAATCCAAGCAACCAAGTCACTGTGGATCCTCTGTATCTCTGGATGAGCCTACCATGAGGGACCTTGTTGAAAGCCTTATTAAAATCCATGTAAACATCCACTGCTCTATCCTCATCGATCACCTTCATCACTGTCTCAAAGAATTGAGTCAAGTTAGTAAGACATGACCTGCCCTGCACAAAGCCGTGCTGACTGTCCCTAATTGGGCCATGCCTTTCCAAATGTGAATGAATCCTATCCCTAAGAATTCTCTCCAAAAGCTTCCCAACCACCAATGAGAGACTCACTGGTTTATAGTTTCCTGGATTATCCCTATTTCCCTTCTTGAACAGAGGAACAACATTAACTACTCGCCAGTCCTCTGGGAACTCTCCAGTGGCTAACGACGATACAAACATTTTGTTCAAGACCCCAGCAATCCCCTCTTTTGCCTCTCTCAAAACCTAGAGTAGATACCTTCAGGCCCTGGGACTTATCCACCTTAATGCTTTTCAAGAGACCCAACACCATTTCTTACTTGATTTCAAAATGCCCTCGTGTTTTGGCATGTTCCACACTAATCTCACTGTCCTTCATCTCCTTTTCCTTGGTGAATACCGATGTACAGTACTCATTTAAGGTCTTGTCCACGTCCTGGGCCTCCAAGCACAAGTTCTTTCCTTTGTCCTTCAGTGGTCCTGCCCTCTGCCTAGTTACCTTCTTGTTTTTTTTAATGTATGTATCAAATGCCTTGGGATTCTCTTTAACCCTACTTGTCAAGGTCATTTCACTTCCCCCACTTGCTCTAATTCCCTGCTTGATTCTTTCCTGCTTTTTATATGTTTCTCATGGGCCCCGTCCAATTTTAGCTTCCTAAACCTTACATTTGCTTCTTTTTCCCTTTTGACTAAATTCACAACCTCTCTCGTTATTCAAAGGTTCCTTACCTTGCCAGCCTTGTATTTCCTCCTAACTGGAACATGCCAGTCCTGAACTCTGATCAGCAGGTCTTTAAACAACTCCATGTCAAATGTAGACTTACTCGATAGCAGCTCCTCCCCATTAACACTCCCTAGTCCCTGCATTATACTGACATAATTTTCTCCCCCCCACCAATTTCACACCTTCCCACAAGGTCCAACTTATCCTTATTCATAACTTTCATAAAACTTAAGAGTTATGATCACTGTTTCCAAATTGCTCTCCCACTGAAAAGTCAGTCACCTGGCCAATCTCATTAGTCAATACAAGGTCCAGTATGGCCTCTCCTCCAGTTGGACTATACACATACTCTTTTAAGAAAGCCTCTTGGATGCACCAAAAGAAAACTACCCTGTCTAAGCCTCTTGCTCTAAGGAAGTCCCATTTAATATTGGGGAAGTTAAAGTCACCCACTCTGACAACACTGTTGCTATTGTATCTTTCCATAATCTGCCTACATGTTTGTTCCTCAATGTCTCGGTGACTCTTGGTGAGATTATATTATAATCCCAACAGAGTGATTGTACCCTTCTTATTCTTGAGCTCTACCCATATTGCCTCAGTGGAAGAGCCCTCCAGTATGTCCTCTGAGTGCAGCTACAACATTCTCCCTGATTAGTAATGCAACTTCTCCACCTTTTTTTACCTTCCTTTCTATCTCATCTAAAACAATGAAACCCTGGAAAGTTGAGCAGCCAGTCCTGTCCCTCTCTGAACCAAGTCTCTGTAATGGCCACAACATCATAGTCCCATATAGTGATCCAGGCTCTAAGCTCATCTGCCTTACCCATAATACTCCTTGTGTTGAAACAAAACACTTCAGCCCATCAGTCCCATTGTGTTCATTTACCTGTATCTGCCTGTCCTTCCTTTCAGACTTACTGGTCCTAACATCTACCTTCCCCTCAATCCTTCCTGCTGGCTGACCTGCTCTAGTTCCCAGCCCCCTGCCATTTCTAGTTTAAACCTTCCCGAGTGGCACTAGCAAACCTCCCTGCGAAGATATTGTTTCCCCTCCAGTTTAGATGTAACCTGTCCCTCTTGTACAGGTCACTCTTGCCCCAGAAGAGGTCCCAATGATGCGAGAACCTGAAACTCTGCTCCCTGCATCAGCTCCTTAGCCACACATTCATCTGGCCTATCTTTCTATTCCTTGCCTCATTAGCACGTGGCCCTGATTGTAATTCTGAAATTATGACCCTTGTGGTCCTGCTTTTCAGCCTCTTTCCTAACTGCCTGTACTCACTCCACAGGACCTAATCCTCTTTCTATCTGTCATTGGTACCAATGTATACAACAGCCTCTGGCTGCTCACCCTCCCCCTTAAGAATTTCATGCAATCGCTCAGAGACGTCCTTGACATTGGCACCAGGGAGGCATAACACCATTCTCGAGTCTCGAATGCAGCTGCAGAAACGCCTGTCTGTGCCCCATCTATATTATTGTTCCTTCGTCACCGCCGGGTCAAAAATCTGAAACTGCCTTCCTCATAGCATTTAGATGTACGTACACTAGTTGATCTGCAACTAGGTTAAAGAATGTAGCTTGCCGCAACCACCTCAAAAATGCCATGAATTATTTTTCTTTAACTTGCCAAAGGCGTTTTTAGTTGTGACGCCTCATCTAACACACAAGCTGAAAACCGATCAAGTCTTGGCTAGCTGTGGTACATTATTTGAATAAACTTTAATGTGCTGCCAGTCAAGCAGAACAGTTTAGAAAAAGTCTACGCGAACAAAATTAACTTCAAAATGTTACATCATTGGTATTGATCATATGAAAATGATTCTATCCAAGAACGTACTTTAAAAGTTTCCAGTGGGAATAAGTTGTTTGTGATATAGTATACTATCGATTGTGCAAGTATTGGCTCTGGTAAAATGCCAAGATTCTATAAATAGAAAGGTGAACAAAGCAGCT